GGCAGTAATACAACGGAGCCTCTGTCACACTCTGCGTGGAGCTTTTACTTCCTCTCTTGATCTTTTGCTTTGCAGATTTTAAAACTAGAGTGGATCATTACTGTTCTCTGATTTAAATGGTCATAAATTGGCATGCAGCAAGGCAGCTAACTTTTGATTGAAACTGACAGAGGCCTTAAGTATAGATCACTTATAACATAGAATTTTAACACGATGATAGAAGCTGTCCTCTCCCTTGGTGAGTGCTTCCAGCAAGTGCTGATGACACTCAGCTATGTGGTACAGTCAACATGCTGGAGGGAAGGGATGCATTCAAAGGGACCTTGACATTCTTGAGAGGTGGGCCAACACAAACCTCATGAAGTTCAGCAAAGTGAAGTGCAAGGTCCTACACCTGCGTCAGAGCAATCCCAGGCACAGCTACAAGTTGGGTGTAATTGTGAAGACGTTTTGGTTTAATTTTTAATTCCTTTGAATCTTTTTTGAAATGCATGCTGTTTACGAGCTATTAATGTTGTTATCCTGTTGTGCAAAAGTTCCTGTAATTCAAAAACTATTCTTAGCTAGATTTAAAATAGGTGGGGTTTTTGGTGGGTTGGGGGTTTTGGGGGCTGTTTGGTTTGGTTTGTTTTTTTTTTTCATAAACTAAGGAGAAAAACAAAACCCTCTTAACTGCTTAAGAAAGTTCCTAACTACCAGTGCAGTACCAGTTTTTGCTTGACTTCTGGGAGAAGTAAAGTTGTTTGCTGCTCTTTCCTATTAGTTTCTAACTCTCCTTATAGCATACTAAAAAAACCTTAGACTAATTGTGAGTTTATTTTCATTGAGAGTAGTCCCTTATAATGAGCATTAGATATTTTGTACTTATTAATTTATTTATTTATTGCATTTACCATCTTGCTTTCCCAGACAGTGAAATTTTCTTCCTAAAACTAAACAGTCTGGTAAGCAGAATCAGATTTGATCCATAAACTTGGGGAATGCCCCACCTAGTGGATGATCACTAACTCATTTTCTCATTGCTCCAGTTCAGACAGGAGACTTAAGGTTATTTTTGATTACATACTAACCATGTTTACTGTCAGCTCAGGAAATTGAATAAAAAGCTGGATTTTCTTTTGCCCTTTTCTTGCGGAGGTGGTGGTGGCAGAGGAAGGGAAGTATCTCAACAGAACAATTTTCTGTCTGGGTGAAGAAAAACACCTTTCTTTAATATGAGTCTCACCTTCCTCTTGTACAAGAACAGATGCAGTGAGCTTTAAAACAGGACAGCAAAATGGAGGGAGTGGAAGCCTATCTGCTTGTGTCTGAGATCCTTGTGCTTTTGAAGGCAGACTAGGGGATACGAGTTATACCCCACTGTGCACAGAAATTATTAATTGGGAAGAGAGGGATGAGGTAATATGTTGCTTTGCCCTTCCTGTTCCTGTGTCCTATAATGTCCATATACATCCTCCTGTGGGTAAAAAAAATTGTCAAAGGCAAATTTTTTGTTCCCTCAAAGTTAAATTTCTCATCTTTCTGTCCTGCTTTTGGTGTTGGTGTTTGAGTTGTATGTAATGAATTCTATTTCTTCTGTATTATAAGAATTTATCTGTGATTTCTTATAAATTTATTACTGAAAGAGGACTGGATACACAGTGCATAAGAATAAACAAGAGTTTGTTTGGAGTAGACACTACATTCTATAAATTAAATCAAATGCTGAGGAATCACGCATCTTTTGGAGAGGCTTAAGCGTACAGCTAATGTCCAAATGATAAAAGCAATGCCTGTAGACGTGTAAAATACTACTTTTGAACATCATAAAAAGAGGAGACAGAAACAAGAATCTTTTGCAGCCATATTCTAGTTCACAGAGTTTCCCTGAAGTTACTGCTTGTTTGCTAAATTCCAAACAGGGAAAAAGAAATGTGTGAAGTTAAGCTGACAATTTGAAGTAAATTGTTTTTAATTCTTACTTCATGGCTACATCCTGTCTTTTGATGTGGGTTGTTATGGACATGCCAAGTGTTACAACCTTATGTTTCTGTAGGCTGAGTCTTGGTTGCTTTTTCTCTTTTCTCCCCCTCCCTTTAATTTCTTTTTTTTTCCCTAAGAATGAATAAGATTAGAGTTGTTTTTTGCTGCTGCTACCTTCATTAACCTTGGCATTTCTATAAATAGAACACCATGCTAAATAAATACAAATGCAAGATTTGCTGATGGCATACCAGTGTAATGTGTTGCTTGCTTTTGCCACATGATGTAAAAGCACATAAGCAATATATTTAAGGTATCATCAATGAATCTTGGAGTCAGTTATATAGTCGATGTTACAGTCTGAAAACAAATTTTCTGAAGAACACAATTCTACCCATTCCTGGTGTTAGAATCAGCACAGGGAGGCTGACATTGGTTATTCTGTTCAGAAGTACCTCCTGAATTCAAAGGTTGCCCCCACAGTACATTGCGTTATTTTCATCTCGTATTCTGACATTGCTTCGTCTGCATAGCTTATGTCCATAACCTGTACATTATGATTTTTTCCTTATGCTTGAGTGATTAATTTCTTTAATAATCATTTTGTGCAACAGAACTGGTGTCACTTGTTACAGCTTATATAAAATACATGGAAAAACTCAATAATATTGAGTATATGAAACTACCACAGTAGAATATTACTTTTATATAAAAAGTTCTTTAAATAGGCTGTATTACATTTTTAAGAGTTCGACTTCCTTTCTGTCTTGTTCTTTATATTCAGTTTTCTTTTATGATGTCCATTGAGAAATGCAAAATGACATAGCTCACTATGCTCACAGTATTTAATATCAAAGTAGAGGAATAAGTTCTACACTGTACTCTTCCTCTTCACTGTTCAAAAGCTTATGAAACAGCCTGTAGAAATAAAAACCCTTAAAACTGTCTTCATAAATTCCTGGCTGTTAGGAGAGGAATTTGGTTAAATTTCTTGCCCAGATTGAAATATACTGAAGTATAAATCTAGAATATGGTTTTTTTTCTTGTTTTTTCCCAGGCCTTCAGTCTTGGGCAGGCTTAGAAAGGTATTAATTTATACCTAGTTAGGCTTATAGTGAGTTAATTTGTGCAGACTGCAGGACCGTCATTCTCTACGCATTCATTAGAAGTTGTACTTCCCTTAGTCCAAGATGGAGTTCATTTTCTGGAGACAAAATAAGTATGGGTGAAGGAGTGGTAACTTCAGGAAATATGAAGAAATAACTGTCTTCCTACCACCTTGTTAGTGAGTTTTGCTCAGGCTTCATAGTTTTGTATCCTTTTTGCCAATATAGAAGGGTTTATTTTGACAAAAAAACCAAAACAAAAACCCTCACCAAACCATAATCATGGCAGTCTATCAATAGTGTAGTTCAGTAGGGCTACTGCCATTAAATGAGTTATAGCTTAATGTATTGGGTGGGGAGGAGGGAGGAAAAGTAGCCCTTACTCTTGGAACAGATGAGCAACATTTGTTCTTATGCTAAATTAAAATAAAAATCACAACGATTCGTGCCTGAGTTTCTTTGAGACTCTCAAGATTAAAACAAAAGTCTTCAGTTGTCTCTTCTGCATGACAGTGAAGCTGTATGATAGTGAAGGACTCAAAACTGAAATACTGCTTTGCAAAAAAAAAAAAAAAGGAATAAATGGATCTTTTTCTTTTATATCCTATGACATGGTTTGTTTTTCTGACCTTTGTCCTGATCTTGATGTGTCCCAAGATCAAATCAAGGCTTTATATCCAGTAGACAGCACCAGTTTATGCTTTCTTGGTTTGTGGGGACATGGAGGAAGGGGGAGAAGTGAAACTGTCCAAGCTGCCTGCCTACACACACAGCGCTTCCTTATGCAGTAGTGTTGCACTCCCCTTCATGGAGGTGCCCTGCCTCACTAGAAAGTAAACATGTATGCATGCTTGTGGAACAAGTCACCTCCCCTTCATACAATTTAGAGACAATAATATACCATAATGAGAAAATTGGAGTGGGGAACAGGAGGGTCTAGGGAAGAAGTTACTTTTGACCTTAAAGTTAGTTTTCTTTCTAGGGTGAAAAATAGTACCACCTTATGTCACATAAAAATCTAGTATGTTTTGGTAAACCTGAGAGGGCAGTTTTCAGTACACTTGAATTCCTGGCTGTACTACATCACCATTGAAGTGTTTACACAAACTTGCAGTTATAATCCTGGTTATAAATTTTACTGAATTGTGTAGTCGGAGTAGAATATGAAAATAAAATATCGGCCATCATGGACAAATTCCATTACTACTAAAGCAGAACTGAAAATATTTTTGGGCGTTTTGTTTGTTTGGGGTTTTTTTTAAGAAGCACAATGTTTCTAAAATTAGCAGGTAGCTGTGTTGTATGGCAAATCTAATGCATAAGCACTAGATTTAAGAAAGCTGTTGGCTCACTTCTGTTTTTATTGGAGCTCATCACAAGCCTGTAGGCTGTAAGAGAAGCAGAGGTTGCAAATATGGAGTATTTCTTTACAATTATTTCATAAGTATCCTCAAAGACAAGTGATACTATGCTATATTGATTTTGCTTGCCTTCTTTTTGCTAGATAGCACTTAAAAAATACTGCTATATATAGTTTTTTGGCAAACTAATTTGTTTTTTACCTGCTAAGAGGAATGCCACTTTCATCTCCCAGCATGCTTCTAACTCTGCTTGCACACACAGGGGGACAAGTTTTATATTTTACTGTAGTAAATGAACAATTGTAATACTTGATATTGGTGAGGAATAAAAAGTATTCTAGCTGGGCACGACAGAGTTCTTTCTTTTTGTTTGGAAAATGCATATCACCCAAGCCAGGACTGAAGCCTGTTTTGTCCCTCCTGTTTAAATTAGACCACCTTTCCAGTAAACTGTTACCTTGTAAATTAAAAATGAAAGCAATGTAAGCTGTATTCCTTGTGCTCTCAGAGCTTTTTTGGCATGAGAAATAATTGGTAACATATTTAATGCCTTTTTGTAAACTTCATACAGGCGCACATCTATTCTTTGGGTACAACGATGAAAGCAGTGATAGAATATACATTAGAACCTGAGACAGAATCAGAATTTGGACAGGATCTACATACTCTACTGGAACAAATGCAAGAAGAGAATCCTGAAAATAGGCCAGATATTGAGGTAAAACAGCTTTACATAATTTCCTGTTCAAAATAAGATTTCTGTATGTGTGCTCATTAATAAACAGATGGTCTTTAATATACTCAAATTTTATAAGAAAGCTGAAGTTTTCCCAGACTCAAAAGAAATTGTTTCTTGCCACTCTAAGGGAGTGGTAACCTGAAGAACAGATGTAGATATTCTACGGTGATGTGACTTTTGAAGAACATTGGGCGAATACACTTGTGGATCTAAATTTTCTTATTAACTGTTTCTTCCCATTTAATGTTTAGTTTAGAGAGTGAAAGCCATTAGAAGTAATAGATATCACAGGAATTATGCTGTGAAATACCTTTAGTTTTCATAAAGAATTTGAAGATATAAAGAATTTTTCAAGATAACATGTTATTTGGTATTAATGTGTGAAAATTTAGCTTTAATCTGTTGTTTTGCAGACTTTCAGACTGTAGCCAGAGAGTAACAGTTGTTCAAATACAGCTTTACATGGATTCAGTTCATCTACTTCTGTGTAGTGCTGTGTACTTTTTTTTTTTCCCCTTCTGAGCTGATTGTGTGTATTTTAAATGCTGTAGCACCTATAATCAATCCTTCACGTAAAGGGTGCTGCAGAAGAAGAATTAATAGATTCATTTTTATAAAGCAGATATTGGCTCCCTGGCTGGGGACTACCCAGGCAGGAAACTTTTCCTGGCACAGAGCCTTCTTGATCATCTCTCCTGTATTTCTTTTTGTTCACCTTCAAGCATAATCGGGAAAGGAATTGTACAGTACTCCGTATCCATCTCCGTTTGGTCTGTAGTCAGAGAAAGCTATTGCTGACTACTCACATCAGCCCAAGAATAGAGGGGATCAAGGATGGTCTAGGGTAATATACGAAGGTTGCTTTGTGACCATATGAAAAGATTATTTTAATTCTTTGGGGGGGGGGGGGAATGACCAAAAAAAAAAAACAAACCACCCCACCAAAAAGAACCACAACAACAACAAAACAAACCAAAAAAAAAAAAAAGGAAAAAAAACCCAAAACAAATAAACAAACAACACAGCACTGCCCCTCCCACCCCAGAAAAAAATGTCTCAAGTTTTTCCTGCCCTTCCTCAATCTGGTATGTGAACAACGGAGCCGGTATCTTCCTTCCACTCACAACTGCAGAAGAGCAGTTAAGCGGGCTAATGGGGAAGTAAGAGCAGCTCATCAGAGCTGTATGAGGTCCCATCAGTGTTTATTTAGGAACAGTTACTGAGGAAACAGTGGGATGCAGCTCTCTTTCACTTCCTTCCCTAAGTGACAGGTTTTCAAATGTGTGAATGCCTGTAGGTAATTGTGTGTGAGACCAGTGCTAATGCCATTGAATGATACTCAGGCTACATTTTAGAGCTATGAAATAATGTTTCTTTTTGGGATTTGATAATGATTGCTTTCTCTAATTGGTAACAGTGTATTCCAGATATTTGTATTTTGAAGTTCTTAAAAGATTCAGGATATACTTATAATGTAATTTTGGTAATAAAAACAGTTATTATCCTGCATATATCACTTAAAATGAATCACTGGCTGTGTAAAAAATAATCCACACTCTAGATTTCTGTGGTTTCATGATGCTATTCATATATATTAATTTTATCAGTTGTTCTTAGTGTTCTGACTGTAAGCTAGAACTTGAAATGTATTAAATAATTTCATGATAGCCTGTGGTAAAAATGAGAAATTAATTCAATGACATAATAGAAACACACAGTATAATGAACAGCGCACAAAAAACCTCCAATATAACATCATATAAATTCAGATGTACTGTGTGAGTTAACATGATTGACTTTAGTCAAAACTTACAAATTATTAATAATTAAGTATTTAACACTAATTTTCTGTAGAGCATTTTGTCATTATGTGAAGAAAAACTGAAGGTTGCTTCATCAAGTAATATTTGTCGAAGCCTGTCTGCTGTTGGAAGAAGAGTTCTTTCAATTGAATCATTTGGTGCTTCCCAAGGTAACCTTAAAATATATTTAGTGTAGAACTTTAGATTGCCTGACATATGTAATGATTTTTAAAATACTGTGTTTGTGTACTTTCTCTTATAGGTTCCTTTCTAAATATCAAAAAGTCATTATTAATTATTTGTGGATTGGGGGTGGGGAGCAGCAAAAGTACAATTCTTAATGAACATAATTAATATATTTTGTGTCCTTTTATGATTAAAAGTGACTTGTCCAGAAGTAAATAATTTGTGTAACATACTAAAGATATGTAACAGTAGTAGCAGAAAAAGCAATATAAATATTTTTTAGGAAAGATTAGAAGGTTTAAATATGCATTTAATACAAGCATCTGTTTTTGCATCTAGATATCTGTGATAACATGTGGAAGGGAAGAATGTGTCAGAGAAGTTTGGGATCTAAATTGCATTCAAATGAGAAAAACAACATAGCAGGTGATTTGTCTGCAGTAGAAGATGTGACAGCTACCTGTCATAAGGATTCTTCTATAGTTACTATGGTGACTGGCAGAGAAAGAGGTTTAAAGGAAATGCAAATTGATCTGGATAACGAGAAAACTCAACATTCTCAACTTGCAACTCAAACTAAAGAGAGCAAAGAAGAGGACAAACATGCAGTGTATACTGACAGTTTTGCTAGTGTTGCATTGGATATAAAATCTTGTGTTACTGACCTGGAGAGAGATGGCATTTTTAAGAAAGGCTCTTTGAGAAAAATTAAAACCTTTCCAAAGCTACCAATGGAACCTGCAGATACGAATAACTTTTTTACTTCTGTAACCAATAGAGGACCGCTACCTAGGAAAAATCACTTGCTAACACAAGAGTCACTACCTCTAGACAATAATAATGAGGTTGCTTTTGCAAAGGGAGATCTGAATTCATTTGCTGTAAGTAGTCCACCAAAAATAGAACCAACGAATCACCAGGTTAATGATCTTCATTTAGAAGCTCCATGTGTATGCACACAGGTGTCTGGCATGAATCTAGAAGAACATAGGTTGCTTATTAATGGTAAAAAGATGGGGTTTGCTTCATCTGATCACAAAGATGACTGTTCTGATGCTACCTCTGAACTGCCAAATACAGCTAGTATGCTGAAAGGTCCAAATCAATCACTTGCTGGAGCAAAAATGCTAGACAATTACATGGCATTGGAAGACTATTCTGAAACTTTTCAAGGGTCAAATGAAAATTCTTTACCACATTTTAGCAAAATGGCATCAGTGTTAACAACAAAACCCAGTGGGAACAGATATGGATCAAACCTAATCAGGTCTCCAGAATTAAGCAACGGTGCGATGAGTGCAAACAATAATGAAGATAATCTTTGTGGAGGCAGAGGGTCAGAAATCAAAAATAATGAGCAGGTAGTAAAAATAAAGTCTTCATTATATAGTTGCTGTAGTCATTTATGTGGAGATGAAATGACTTAAATACTGTGTGATTTTATTTAAATTTTTTTCCCCCTCATCCCCTTTAGCATCCTGGAAAATTGAATTTTGCTAGTCTGCACACTTTTAGAGTTAATATTGGAAACATGGTGATCCTTTTTTCCCTCTTTAAAAGTAAAGTGCTGCAGAGAAAACTATGCTGTGCAAAATCAACTTTCATCCTAATTTTTTTTCTTACAAATGGAGCATACTTGCTAGTGTGTTAGAGGAGCATAAAAGTCGGTTACATTTGTAAGAGAACATTACCAAAGCATATGTAGGTTTTTAACTCTTTGTTACTGTCAGTGCATAAAGCCCACTGTGGGCATCCCAGGTGCTTATAAAAATTGCAGAGTTCCTGACTGTAAACATGACCTCATTGAAATCAATGGCAATATCCCATCTGCTTCAGGAGGTGGAAAGACTCCGCTTTTTTTTTTTTCTTTTTAATTGATGTGTACATTTAAGTTTTTTGAAAACTGTACATATGTTATATCTGTTCTGTGTTCTTAAATTACCGCTTCTGTGTTTGTTATGTATATTTCATGATAGAATTCAAATATGTGCACAATATGATGGATATGTTGTCTCAAGTCTTTCACCTTTATAAATAGTCAAATACAAAGAAGGAGAGCTGATAATTAGTCTACTAGAATTTGTTGATAGGTAGTTGTAGTGTGGTCTCTGCTCAAGTTACATATTCTCAGGGTGGACAAGTTTGGTCTCTGACTAGATGGTTTTCTCTTGTGCCACACTCAAAGAGATGTAAACAAGCCATGTAATAGGAAAGCTGCTGGCTAAAAATGCATGTGGTTGATGCCAGCCTTGATGACAGTCCAGCCTTGCTGTGACTTGATAAAAATGAGCAGCACAAACTTCAAATATTTCATTTACAAAAATTATGAAGATACTGGGGTTTTTTTCCTTATTTGTTTACTGTCAACTCATCCTTGCCTAAAAGCCAGTCTTCCAGCCCTCCCATGCAGTGGCACCTAAGGTTATTTTCAGTCTGCATCCATACCTCTTTTCACCTTGCCTGAACACATCTACTGGAGTAGTAACCTAGGACTATCAGGTGTGTTCATCATAGCTAAAAAAAAAAAAAAAAAAATCAGTTCAACATTGAACATACTGTTTTAAATTATTTTTTTATCCCTTTCCTGTCTCTTCTCCTCTCAACAGCATGTACACTTACTGAACTCATAGTCCAGAAGTATAGTAAATATGGATAAGTACCACATGACATGGTTTTGCTGTCTGAGGGAGCTACTCACTGTATGCATGTTGAATCCTTTATTTAATTCTTAAATCCTGCAGGTGCATTCTTCAGACTCTGGGAAAAGATCCATGTACTGTAGACACTTTTTCTTTTCTCCCCTCTTCCTGCTCTGCACTATGCAGCCTAACATATTCAGAAGAGTCCCAAGTCTTCTGCTTTTCCTATGTCACTTGTTACCCTGGATTTACGTGAGCCTCTTCATTTAGTAGATGTACTTGTGTTTCTAACAAGGATCATAGTAATTTCAATCACTGACATCTTGTGAGAAAGCTTATTAGTAAACAGAAATGTAGATATGTCTTAGTATTCAAGCAACAGAAAAAACTGTCATTTGAAGTACAAGTCTTTTCTCTGAATTGAGTTTTTATGTTTTAATGCTAAACTCTATAAATCTAGGAGTTATCTTGCATGTTCATTTGTCATGGAGAAGATGGCTATCACACCACTATAAAACCCTACTGCAGCTGGTTTGGATTTTTGTTTTGTTTTGTGTTTGTGGTTTGGTTTGGTTTGGTTGTTTTGGGGGGGTTTAATTGCAGGAAATAAAGGTACCATACTTAAGTCACTCGCCTTGAGGTGGAAGTGGGCTTACTTAAGCTTCTGTGTGAACTAGAGAGGTGTGGTGTATAAACTGTCATCACTTAGGAACATAAATTGAGTGTAGTGATAGGGGTCCTTCTTTAGGTAGCAAAAAATCTGTTGAAATAAGACCTGTACTCTGTCCTTCCTGGATTACCAGGACAACAATTTTAAGTCTGGGTACATGAAGATACTTTTGAGAAAATAACCTTGCTCAGAATTAAAGTTTTCTAAAATTCTTGCATGATTTAAAAGATGTAAAAAATGTCCCATTTCCTTTTCCTGCAGCCACACTAGAGACTGGCACATGGAAAAGTGAACAAGAATGTGTTTTCAGGTTATTCTGCCATCCTTCTGAAATTCCCATCAACTGCTGCATCATCAATTTAAATAAAGTGTTTTTTTTCAGATTGAACAGAATTTCAGTCTAAGTAAGTAGGCTTCTTGGTAGAAGTGAGGTATGGCAGACTATTATAAGTTGTCTTACAGGAAAGGGGAGGGGTGTTAATGTTTTCAGCTTCTTTTTCTTCTTTTGGAAAACTAATTCCTCAGGCTTCTGAAACAGCAGTTTCTGCCTCTGTCTTACCTTCTGATAATTACAAAAATAAAGCCATACTGTGCTATCCCTTATGTAACTAATGTCTCTTTCAAGTTACCTTTCATTTCATTTCTCTGTGCCAGAATTTTACCAAATGCCTAAAAATATATGGGAGTTTTTTGGTTGTTTGTTTTGTTTTGTTTTTAAGAGGGTATAACTTCAGTCTGAGAGTTTTTTTCATTTACTGCAAAGGCACAAAAAGTGTGAAGCCCCAGCTAATGTGATTTTTATCTTCTGGGCTAAATAAAAAACCCTTCAGATTTACAGTGCTGCTCTTTCACTCCTTTTCTATAACAGATAAGCATGATTGCAGCAAATAGAGCTCTTGAAATAGTACCACTAGCATCTCTTTAAATATTTCTTGTTCTTTAGAGAAATGCAATACCAGTCCCATCCGGTTGAAGATCAACCTTGTCTGCTCTGGTGAACAGACAGTTTTTCTTGCCTGTCAATACTTCTCCAGTGGATAGTATTTTTCTAATACTCCAATACTGCTTCTTAATGTTGTGTGCTTTACTGCTAGTAAGCATTACTAAAAGTACTTGCTTGCTTGTCTGGCTACTGCAATGTATCTTGTGAGGGTTTTCCTAGTAATTTTTATAGTTTTGCATGCATAAATAAATATTTTTCACTTCAAGTTTGAGTGGGGATCTTTTATTTCTCTAACCAATTTCATTCCAATTAGGTTGTCTCATCTCTAATGCTTTTAAATGTTTATCTGTAATTCAAATGCTATGGCCTTTACATGAGAAGGGTTAATGGGAACCTGGCATATACACATTTATTTTCTGTTGGTTATTCATGTACAATCAAGCATGAGAGAAGTGAAAAGCCATGCAGCTAGAGAATGACACTTGAACACTGGGGAAACAACACTTGAAAGAAAGAAGTTTTCAATTCCCAGAACAGTATTTATTAAAAAAAGAAAAATGATAAATCTTGCTTGCTTTGGCTGTTTAAAGCATGCCAGCATTATTTTCTTAGAATATAGTGCATTGTCATAGTCTGAATATATAAAACTTTTATTAAAAAACTTTGATTTTACAATTCTGGTACCCACAATGAAATAAAAGATTGTTAAATGATCTGAAGAACTAAACCCCACTTTTGTTGGGGAAAAAAAAAAAACAACAAAACACCACCAAAAAAAAACCCAAACAAAACAAGTGAGGCTTAAAAAGTGGTCTTTTGGGCATAAAATAAAATGTCACCAGTTTGTAGCTATAGGCAATAATGTCATTTGGCTTTTTCATAATTTATTGTCAAAACTGCTGTAAAAAAACTTTCTTACTTAAAACTGGGTTATAAAATTTCTGTTATGTAAAGGTCAGTTTAAGTACACAGAAAAAAAATCAGGAAGAGGCACTGGATTATATTATTATTATTATTTTGCAATTCCACTGGTTCTAATATATTAATAAATGTTTGAATGTCAGTATTAAGACAACTTTAATGCTTTAAATGAAGTGGATTTGAGGCATTATGGATGCTGAACAATTGTCTTGAGCTTGCTTTGCTAAAATGTCTGAACAGATGGTTAATGAGTAATGCATGCTACATGTGTTTGACTGAAAAAATTTAATCATATGTTTTCCAGTGTTTCAGTTTGTTGGGGTTTTTTGTTGGGGTGGTTTTTTTTTCTTGGTGGTTGAGAGGTTTTTTTTGAAGTTGTAGGGAATAGTAATAGCTGTGCATCAGAGAACTGCATGTAGAAAAAAAACCAAACATAACCAAACATCAGGCATGCCTAAGTAAGAACATTTTACACTTAAGTGTTTACCAGAACATAAAGAGGTTCAGCGGGATTTGAATGTGCACTGCGTTAAATACTTCTGAGGTTTGAGGCTTAAATAAAAGCTGCCTCATAACCTGAAGTTGAAAAGTGTATCATTTTTCCTGTGGAAACTATTTTAACCAGACTGCACACATTTTTCATCACAGCTGTAAATGCATGATGAAACGTGTCTTATCACGCACCTCTAACTTTTATGAAGTGTTAGGACAAATCCCCAGCAGGTCTGAACCCTCAGTCTTCAGATGAAGTCTTTCAGAATTCTCTTTCTGATGTAGGAAGGTGACCAGTTTCAATAATTAGAACACTAGAATTACCTTCTTGTGTTGTTTTTTGGTTCAGATTTTTATGTGCGGGTTTTGGGTTTGGTTTGGTTTTTTGTTGTTTTTGTTGTTTTTTGTTTGGCTGTTTTTGGGGAGGGGACTGTGGATTTTTTTAGTTTGGGGTTTTTGGTTGGTTTTGCATTTTGTTTCATTTTCAAGAATGAATATAATCTTTTGGTATGGTCAAGTTTGGAAGAGACTTGAATTATAATAAGAGTTAATGCCAATGCAGTTAACTATTAGTATCACAGGAGAAACAGCTAGCTAGCAATATTAATGTTTGAAGCTCATTCTTCTTTAGGATGCTTGCCAGAGGGAAACAATGAGGGTATACATTTAAATAAAGTTCACCAACCTGTAACTACATTCTTTTTTTTTCCTGACTCAGGTTAATTTGGCCATCCTGTGGATGGCAGTGATTCTCACTTCTGCAAAGATTTGCTTTTCCTGCATCATTTTTTTCTTCTGAAACAGACTTTTTCTGGTGCTTTTTCATCTTCTATTTTATTATCTGTCATTGACACTTCCTTTTTTCTTATCATAAACTTTTGCTGCTCCTCCTAGGGCTTGTTCCCACTTTTCTGCTGTGCTTAAATTTCTTTCTATCATTTCTTTCTTCCTCTAGAGAGCTTGGGTATCATCCCAGAAGTGATGGGAAATGCCTTTCAGCTTTCTGCCATACAACTAACTTCAGTCTCCAGTTTAATGAGAGGTGGTTCTTCCCCCTAGCTAGCCATTCATCACCTTGTCCTGAAGTGAGAGGTGATTTGTATATGGAATAGAGGAAGTCCATCTTTCTCTGCTGCACCTTTTAGAGCCTCTAGGAACATAAACTTCAAGAGGTGGTATTCTCTTTCAAGAACATATGTGGCAGTGGTGTGTACTTATTACAAAAACATTCCCGAATCCCAAAACCTTTGTAATGTTCAAGTCAGCCTGTAGAATTTCTGGTTTTGATTTCTCTCATGTCAGCTGTGCAGCATGAATTTGAAAATTTTTCTCTTTCTTTCATTGTAGAGTGTCTGTGAGCAGACACTTGCACATGAGAACTAGGGTGCTGTGGAGCGGGGAATGCAGCACTGGTCAGGGATAGTAATCAATCAAGTATAAGCTTTATCTTGATTATTCTCTAGACTAATTCTTCTGACTGTCTGCCCTTTTCCTTCCTGCTGTGGGATTGGTGTCTTTTTATCAGACAGTTCAAGAGCTTACCTGTCTAGATATAATGAAGGAGCACATTGATGAAAGAATTTTGCATGCCAGGATGCTGGTGATAGGAAAATTTGAGAATGAAGCTTAACCATATTACTTGACTTCAAATCTGTCTATGCTGAAGTTACTAATTTTTGTGATGTGCCACAATGGAGAGTAGGAGAATAAAAACACCAAACTAATTTTTATGTAAGTTGGAGGTAGGCAGAATCTAAAACATTTCAAGTAAATCAAAAGGTGTGTTTTGCACATCTTGTTAAAAATTATAGTTTATCTGGATCACCCTCAAGGGATATTTAAACAGTATGAGCCTGGAGTATTATGTTCCTTGAAAAGGTCTTCTGGTAAGAAGTACCAGAAAAGTTTCAGCTGCAGAAATGTGGTTCTTTTTCTCCTCCCCACAGATCACAAAGAAGCTATTTCTGTTTGTCAATCTTGAAAGTTAATGCAGTAGTCTGTTCATTATGTATTTTACAATAAAATCCAAATAGTGCTTCCCTGATGGGTGTTTCATAGCCAGGATAATGGAAAATTGACTGCATTAAATGGCAGTGAAGAGACTGATGTGCCAAATGTAATGATGAACTACCATTGTGTGTGAGAGAGTCCCTTAGTCTGCTTAGATTTTGCCAAGATTGATTGGAATATAAAGGTGTCTGTAAAAGCTACAGAACAGTCCAGAGGTTTTAATCTTTCTTTGTCTCCTGTGCTCCATTTTTGTTTTGTTGGTTTTGGTGGTTTTGTGTTTTTTTTTTTCCCTAGAGTTAATTCCAAGTCGCTTCTAGTAGGTTTTTTCCCCCTTGTGGCCAAAAGTTGACATTTACAGATAGTTTACAATCTTTGGGCTGCATACGCAACAGAAAATGTGTGGTGCTGTTTTAAAAAATAGTTGGATGTGTTGGTTCTAACCCAGATGTTTCTGCCTACTGTGGATCTTTTACTGTTCCTTTGGTTGGTGGAGATCGTAAGGTCCAACTGATGCCAAGAGCCCCTAATAGCAATAAGCTCTTCATTAACACAGCTTGATTGGGAAGGTGTCTGTACCATACTATCAAGTTCAAATTCTTATATTCACGTTCCCAAAAAAGAAATTGAAAAATTGATTCTCTGAAGAACAGTGAGTTTCCCTGGAGCAGGATCTGTTACATAAGTATATTATGCCAGGTATGAAAAGCTAAATTGGTAGCCAGAAAAACAAATTCTGTTGCTACAAATTGAGCAGCCAGTGATTAAAAGCAGAACAACATGCTTGGACTTCAAATAAACCAGTCATTAATTCTTTCAACATAGTTAACATCTTTCACAGAAGAGCAACAAATGTTGATGAGATCTTTAAGGTAAGACCTGTAATGAAACTGTCAGGGTAGATCAGGGTTCGAATGTGGAATTTTTTGTTGGTGGTGGTCACTTGGATTTTTATGTTTTTAAGTCTAGGTGTCATCTCTAATTAATTGTCATCTTTAACATCCTGAGAGTCTTTCCTTAGTATGACAAGAAAGAGCTTACAAACAGCTAATTTTTCCTGAAAGACTTATTCTGTCTGAAATTTCATTTGGATTCCACTTTTATTACATGTTTAAGGAACTACTGGTTCATCCCTACAGCTAGGTAACTGTGCAATGCTTTTTCAATAAGAAGTAGTATATATATATAATACTTTCAGTAACATACAATACTAATATATATAATACTTTAAATAAGAAGTATTATTAGATCATTACTGGTAAGTGCAATAAATACCTCAATGCTTTTTAGGTGAGTGTGTTGTATATTAAGATTTGCTTTTTCATTGGATCGGTAAACTTTATTTGTGATAATTTTTAATAACTTGCTGCATCCTCACTCCTTTTATTTCAGTGCATCTCTCTAAAAATCCTGTTGTCCTGGTATGGTAAACCCCTGAAAGACTATGAACTCTGGGCATTATGTCATGAGTGTTTATGTACTCTGCAGACTTGTGGAGATTATCCAGGTATAGTCTTAATTATGTTAAAATATTTGCTTAGTTTTTCATGTTTAGTGTATTTTTTGTGTACAGAAAAATTAATAAGCAATGTTTCTAATGTCATTCTCTTAAATTGTGGGTTAGAGTTTTTACTCAATTTGGAGTTATCTTCCTTATATAGAGGAATGTCTTCTCTTTATTCTTTTGATGGGGAAACAAATCATTATGACTTCAAGCTGTGAAATAGATTTTGTGTTCAGGCATTTCAGGGATGGAGAAACTGTACTGTGACTGCTAAGCACTTGGGACTTGTAAGTTGAAAGCAGGAAGAAATTAGTGCTGTATATGTAAATGTAAAACTTCCTCTCTTGCCTGGATTCCTTTGTGACAAATGCTTCCTGATTTATTTTTGATAATACAGGGCTTCATTAGTTTAAAGCACCCAGGGTCTTGACATGACATTACTCCTTCGACATTCCCTATGCTTCAGTATGTAGGAGAATTATCAGAAGTCAACTTCAGAGAGAGCAATGGGGAACTGTCCTTTGGGAGAATTGGAGTGTGTTGTTTGTAACTTGGGAGAAGATCATCCTAAATTTCTACAGGCATTCTGAATGTTGGTTTAGCTTGTGCTAATAATCAGTCTGTAGCTGTTCTGATAAACAGACCAGAGGTTCTCACTGCCACCTCCTGCCTTTTCTTTTTCTTGATTTAAAAAGCCTACTATTGATGGTTTGGGCAAGGATGAGCTTGAAGTCTATGACTGAATATAAGCAATTGGATAGTGAGGCACAGAAAACTTACTGCATCCCTTTGGTTTTCAGCTTCAGCTGTTTTATTTTGTGTGATATAAAACTGTTAAAAAGGAAATTGGCCATAAATGGAGATTTCTGAGCACTTTACACAATGTTAGCCTTAAAATTAAGCATTTACATACCTTGCAACAGAAGGATTATTTCAGCCTTATAGCATGATGCTAGTGTTTGTGAAGGTTTCAAATAATTGCACATAATGACTCAGATTCTAATTTAATATGCCTAGCCAGCCTCTGTTACCATACTTACATGTGCCCAGAATATGCAAGTCTTCAAAATGCAAAAGACTGAGTTGTGATCTGCACCTTATCTAGTCTATAAAAGTGAACATAATGATACAAACCACTAAATGGAAGGCACCTTACATAAATTCCACATTTGACAAATAAAACTACCTCAAATCTGAATATTGTTTTCAGAATTAGAGCATTTGTGCTAGAGGATTCTCTGCCTGTTTTGAGAGTAATTGTGCATTGTGGAATGACTTACAGTGGTGTCACTACTTCTGTGCCCCACATACACCCATAAAGTGTTTTCACCATTCCTTTTGAATAATATTAACTAATTAAAGGTGAAGCTGATATCATATAAAAGGATATTTGTTAAAATATCTTTTGCTTTAACACTGGTAGAGTAAGATTGGTAGCTGATGAGTCATAGTTAAATGTATGAAATGTGGTACAAGCTGGATTATTTATGATTTGTTCACATAAACAGCCTTTTCCTAAAAATCCTTCCTTGATTGCACTTTTTTCATTATCCTAAGCAGGAAAGAGCTGGGTAAGAAAATATACCCTTCTCCATGTATTTTTTTAATTCAGTCCTGCTACAAAAGTTGCAGGAGGATTTATACCCTCTACTGAGACTTAATGTATTTCCTTTCCTCTTCACAGAAGATGTAGCCTACATGTTGCTCATAGGCACTTTTATGAACCTAGATGAGAATTCTCATGTTGCACTGTAATTTAGACTTGGTAAGCATGAACTGCTGCAGATTCAGGGCCAAAGGCATAACTCTTGAGAAACAAAGACAGAAGGCTCTCAGAGGAGCTGCCTCTGCAAAAATACAATTATAGAATCATAGAATAGTTAGGGTTGGAAAGGACCTGAAGATCATCAAGTTCCAACCCCCCTGCCGTGGGCAGGGATACCTCACACTAAACCATATCACCCAAGGCCTTGTCCAACCTGGTCTTCAACACTGCCAGGAATGGAGCATTCACAACCTCCCTGGGCAACCTATTCCACTGCCTCACCACCCTAACAGGAAAGAATTTCCTCCTTACATCCAATCTAAACTTCCCCTGTTTAAGTTTTAACCCATTACCCCTTGTCCTATCACTACAGTCCCTAATGAAGAGTCCCTCCCCAGCATCTTATAGCCCCCCCTTCAGATACTTGAGGGCTGCTATGAGGTCTCCACGCAGCCTTCTCTTCTCCAGGCTGAACAGCCCCAACTTTCTCAGCCTGTCTTCATACGGGAGGTGCTCCAGTCCCCTGATCATCCTCGTGGCCCTCCTCTGGTTCCAACAGTTCCATGACCTTTTTATATTGAGGACACCAGAACTGCACACAATATTCGAGGTGAGGTCTCACAAGAGCAGAGTAGAGGGGCAGGATCACCTCCTTCGACCTGCTGGTCACGCTCCTTTTGATGCAGCCCAGGATACGGTTGGCTTTCTGGGCTGCAAGCGCACACTGCTGGCTCATGTTCATTTTCTCATCAACCAACACCCCCAAGTCCTTCTCCTCAGGGCTGCTCTGAATCTCTTCTCTGCCCAACCTGCAGCTGTGCCTGGGATTGCTCTGACCCAGGTGTAGGACCTTGCACTTGGCATGGTTAAACTTCATGAGGTTGGCATCAGCCCACCTCACAAGTGTGTCAAGGTCCCTCTGGATGGCATTCCTTCCCTCCAGCCTATCAACCGAACCACACAGCTTGGTGTCGTTGGCAAACTTGCTGAGGGCTCACTCAATCCCCCTGTCCATGTCAGCAACAAAGATGTTGAACAAGACTGGTCCCAACACCGATCCCTGAGGGACACCACTCGTTACTGGTCTCCACCTGGACATTGAGCCATTGACCACAACTCTTTGTGTGTGGCCATCCAGCCAGTTCTTTATCCACCGAGTGGTCCATCCATCAAATTGATGTGTCTCCAATTTAGAGACAAGGATGTTGTGTGGGTCAGTGTCGAATGGTTTACACAAGTCCAGGTAGATGACATCAGCTGCTCTACCTCTGTCCATCAGTTCTGTAGCCCCATCATAGAAGGCTGCCAAATTGGTCAGGCAGAATTTGCCCTTAGTGAAGCCATGCTGGCTGTCACCAAGCACCTTGTTGATTTTCATGTGCCTCAGCATGCCTTCCAGGAGAATCTGCTTCAAGATTTTGCCAGGCACAGAAGTGAGACTGACTGGTCTGTAATTCCTCGGGTCATCCATTTTCCCAAATAACTTGTAAAGGTTTCTGTTTGGAGAAGCTTTGCTTTTCAAAACACATACTTCAGGTCCAGCTTAAATATTATTGAAGGTAGTAGGCAAGCCTGTATTTACATTAAGCATTGTGAGCAATTTAGTGGCTTTAGATGTATTGTATACAGATAACTACAAAAGCAAAAGAATTATTTCCTTTCTTTGTTATTTTAATTTTCTTAGGTGTCTTCAATTTATTATTTAATAAAAATATATTTTACTCTTAAGCTTCATCAATATATTATTTAATAGTTAATAATTTTAATGGTTAACCTAAGTTAATGAAAGAATCTATTCTACTACATTTATATGAAAACAATGTATTAGATGGTAGTCTACAAAGGCAGGACTACATTGCTAGCCAGTCAGCTTATTATGTTGAAACATGTTAAATTACAGTGTGCTTTGAAGACATAAAACAGGTAAATGTAGTCGTACAAGTTTTTCGTCACTGAAATTATATAACACAATTTCATGACCGTAATGTTAAGTTCTTGAGGACCTCAGATAATTTAAAATAGTTTTAGAAGTCAGTTATTTCTTTCCTAACTGTGGAAAATTTCAGGGCCTTGCAAATAGCAGTCTATGTAACGCTTCTTCAGTATGTGCAATTATAACTATTTGTGCAAAGCTGGACTCCCTATCCTATCCCACCTTGAGGTGTTCTGCATCTGCTCACATATGTCACAACTGTTTCCAGATAATGACCCTGCATTTGGTGGGGTTGGGGAATGGAAGAAAGGAGAGATTAAAAGCATAAGATAAATGGACTGTCTTTATTGGTGCCTTGTGAGAAAACTAGCATACATGTAGCTGTTGTATTCCTTTTTCTGTTTTGTTCCTTTCTTGGCCTTCCTTTTCAATGCTGGCTATAAAGAGAATAAGCTTCTGGTGTTCTAAGCCCTTTTATTTATTGTGATCCCATTTTTACTTTCTTTTCTGTTCTGCAGGAATTGCTTTGGGTGATAACACATCTATTGTTTCTTTATTGGGTGGTGTCTGTTCTAGCATTAGTGTTATTTAAAGCATCATTTATCATAGGGTGATTGCTGACACTACAAATTATTTTTTAAATTATTTATTTGTATTATTGTCAAATAGTTACAAGACAGATATTTATTATGCCTTGCCCTTGTTTTGCAGTGGTGTTATGTTTGGACTCCGTGCTTATTGACTGCCATGGAAGTATCCTCTTTGCTGCTCCAAAAGCTAATGGTAAACTAATACATTGTGTGCTCTGCTTTTATTTCTTTTGGGGCTGAGTGGAGAAGAAAGCAAACATCTTACTTTTTGTTTTTTGTTTCTTTTCTCATTTAGAATCATGTGATATATTTTACTTAGCTCCTGAAATTGAAGAAGAGTATGCAGATACTGAGAAGGTAATGTGGTAGGTTATGTAGGTTGCTATGCATTGCATTTTATCAAAGGACAGTTGCATCCTTCTGGTGCTTGAGGAAGAAAGCTAACCTCTTCTACGATTCTGATAATATTTCTCATTTCCCCCTATATTTCTCAGTTATCTGTGGGGTTTTGTATATTGATCTGCCATAAAATTAGTTGCTTCTGAAAAATAATTATGCATTCCAAAACTGTTGGAGTAACTGCCAATAATCTGTTAATCCATAGTTTTCCATAAGACTTAATAATTTTTAGTTTGTTAGCAATAAGACAGATTTTGAAGTCATGTTTTCACCCTCTGGAGGTCATGCTAAGATTAGCATTTTACACTGTCTAGGCTAAAGCCCAAGCATTTAGCTTATTTGGAAGACTGGGTAAAATATTACTATCAGCATATTTTTACTATGGGAACACTATGAATTATAGTCTTTTACCAATACTATTTTCCTAGAGCTTTTTGCTATAGATATAATCCATAAGGAGCTCTTGGAGCAGGGATGATAAATATGCTAATAAATAGCAGGTCAGTATGTGTTTCCACTGCAACTGCGTCTGAATAGCAAGCTGTACTACAGTGATCTTAGCAGTTAGGAAAAAATAATTCATGGTACCTTTCTATAATGTAACAAGAAAAAATGTTACCTAATAAGTACCTTGTGTCCATGAGTTCTTTAGAATTAGACACTGTAGTCATGAATTAGAAAAAAAAACTTATAAAAAAATCTACTAAAGACAGCAATTGACTTTCTGTAAAATTATCTGTAGCTAGAAAATGTTTATATATCTTATTTAAAATTAGTTTTTCTTCCTAAACGGCTGTGATCCAACATGCGGGTTTTTCAGAGGCTTCAGAAGCTTAAAAAAGCTTAGCTGAAATCTAATACAGCAGTTTTACCACACAGTAAGAATTTATAACTCTGAAGGCTTTATGCTTTATTCTTTTTCTTTAGAAAAGTAATTTCTTGACTTGTTTATCTGCAACATTATATATAGAATAAGCTGACCTGTTTTTTCCTAAATAAATAAATATAGGTTAGCATTGTGATTCCATTGATCTCTTGGAATTCTGAGTTGAAGGGGAAGAATTATTTTTTTTGTTTGTTTGGTGGAGCTACTTTCTCCTACCTCAGGTGGTTTTGTATCTACTAGTAGCTTTTGTTCAACAGTTCAACTGGTTCACAGGTTATTTTCACTATAGTGAACTTCTTTCTTATATTGTGTTCACTGCTGTTCACTTTGGTCAAAAAAGTGCTAGAAAATATTGTTCTATGGGACCACATTATTCAGTACTGTGCTTAGGTTTCTGTCATTTTTAATCTTTCAGAGGCAATGTGAAGAAGCATGGTGCTTTAACTTTGTCAAAATTGCATTTGTAGTACATGCTAATATATGTAAACTAAGCATTAAGGAGGCTAAATCTGGCTCTGTCTGAAAATTCTAATTCTTATAGAATCATAGAATACCATAGAAGATCATCTAGTTCCAAACCCCTGCCACAAGGAGGGATGCCTCACACTAAACGGTGTCACCCAAGGCTTTATCCAAACTGGCCTTGAGCACCACCAGGGATGGAGCATTCACAGCTTCCTTGGACAACCCATTCCAGTGCCTCACCACCCTTACAGTAAAGAACTTCCTCCTTATATCCAATCTAAACTTGCCCTGTTTAAGTTTGAACCCGTTACCCCTTGTCCTGTCACTACAGTCCCTAATGAAGAGTCCCTCCCCAGCATCCCTATAGGCCCCCTTCAGATACTGGAAGGCTGCTATGAGGTCTCCATGCAGCCTTCTCTTCTCCAGGCTGAACAGCCCCAACTTCCTCAGCCTGTCTTCATATGGGAGGTACTCCAGTCCCCTGATCATCCTCGTGGCCCTTCTCTGGACTTGTTCCAACAGTTCCATGTTCTTTTTATGTTGAGGACACCAGAATTGCACAGAATACTCCAGGTGAGGTCTCACGAGAGCAGAGTAGAAGGGCAGGATCACCTCCTTCGACCTGTTGATCACGCTCCTTTTGATGCAGCCCAGGATATGGTTGGCTTTCTGGGCTGCAAGTGCATACTGCCGGCTCATGTTCATTTTCTCATCAACCAACACCCCCAAGTCCTTCTCCTCAGGGCTGCTCTGAATCTCTTCTCTGCCCAACCTGTAGCTGTGCCTGGGATTGCTCCGACCCAGGTGTAGAACCTTGCACTTGGCATGGTTAAACTTCATGAAGTTGGCATCAGCCCACCTCAGAAGCGTGTGGAGCTCCCTCTGGGTACCATTCCTTCCCTCCAGGGTATCAACCGAACCACACAGCTTGGTGTCATCGGCAAACTTGCTGAGGGCGCACTCAATCCCACTGTCCATGTCAGCGACGAAGATGTTGAACAAGACCGGTCCCAACACCGATCCCTGAGGGACACCACTCATTAGTGGTCTCCAGCTGGACACTGAGCCATTGACCACAACTCTTTTGTATTCTTCAAACTCTTTTATTCTTCAAATAAAACAGGAAAGATTGTGACGATCAAGTACTTTTAGAGGTCCTTCATCATGACAACTTCAGTTGGTCTGTCTGCAGATAGCACAGTAATCGCTGAAATGGATATACAGTACTTCATTTTTCTGATACATCTAATCTTCTCTGTAAAATGTGACTTGTATTGGCTAGCTCATAATTACTGTGTGCCATTTACTTACTGAAGTATCATGACCTTTTTAAATAAATTACAGCTGGTCAGGTTTTATGGTAGAACTCTAAGGCTTGCAGCAATCTTAACTTTTTACATGAGAAAGGAATTCTTCAAAATTATTCTAAAACCACTTTTTTCCTGAATAATTTTCCTAGAGAAAGGGTAAGACAAATTACGTCTTTTGCTCTAACAGTAGAAAATTAGCTACTATTATTTGTCCTGCATGCATACTAGCTATTTTTTTTAATGGGCAGGGATTTTCATAAGCATCTTCAAAAGCCAAATGTAATCTGTACTTTGGAAGCTGTAGACATTATTATTTGTGTGAGGAAAGAGGGAAATTTCTGGATAATTTGCTGGAATTGGTTTTGAAGCGGAAGCTTTTTTTTCTGTCTGTTTACATCTTTCCTGTCTCTTACTTTATACCAGGTCTGCATTTATGGTATTGCTGCAGTTCTGTGGATGGCTGCAAAATCCAGTGTTCCACCAAGTCACAAACTAGCATTGCCAAGAAAATTTAAAAAACTTCTTCTGGGTATGGCAAGAAAAAACCCTGAAGAAAGACCTTCTCTAGCTGATGCAATTAAGGTTAGTACATTTAAGCAGTTTTATGTGTAATATAGTTGTCTAAAGAGTTATTTTAGTAATTTAAATATCAAAATACTAATTTATTTTGCTAATAAACTGATACCTAATTAAATCATAATCTGACACTGTGGGGGTTGTTTTATAAGTTAACTCTCTATGGACAGCAGAGGGGTGTGGTTTTAATTTATATTGAAATTGTCACTAAGGTACTTGGAATAGGTTCATAAGACATCCTAAACTTAGATTATTTCCAGTTGACTACTTAGCTTGACTTTGCCCTTCTCCAATAATATCCCACTTGACTGAAAACTTTTTACTGCCTGGAAATTATGACTTTTTGACTTTTTTTTTTCATAAGACATGCAGTCGTTATTTATTTGAACAAGGTGTAAACAGCAAAAACATTTTGGCATTGCTGAATAAATCTGTCTTTAAGGTAAGAGCACTACCGTTTTTTACTTCTCTACTTTTTTTAAATTAATTCTGTAAATTGTATTCCAGTAAGACTTTTGTCCCCTGCAAGTACAGTTACATTTGTTCTCGTTTTGATTTATCTTCAAATAGCCTTTAAGTAGTGATTTTTTTCTAGTTCTTGCTATTGGAGTGGTCACTCCCCAGATTTTGCTGCCCTGACTCTACACTCTCTATAGGTGAAGAGCTAGTGACTTAATTTTATAATCTCTCTTTCATTTACCACTCCTCTTATCAGAATAGAAGATATCAATATGTAACTGTTGTTCTGTTTGTTTATGTGTATATAATGCATGGAGCGTTCAGTCAATCCATGGAACTAACTTTGTTCAAATCTTTGATTACCTAAAAGTTCTGATTTGAAACAGTTTTCCAAATGGTTCTAACAGTCCTTAGAGTTTTGTATGCCATTTAATTCTCCACCTTAGCATGACTAGATTGTTGCTTTGCAACATTCTAGATATATATGGGTGTTGGGTTGGTTTGGGGTTTTTTTGGAAGTAATTTAAACTGGAACAAAAATAAAAAAAAAAAAAAAGAAGCTAATAAATTCAGTTTGGACTTCAATTTTGTTAGGCTGTTGAGGAAGACATAATCTCGTCTCAAGATCATGTTGCTTTTGCATTTAAAAATGAAAGACATGAAATGGACCCTTCAGAGTCAAGTCTAGGTAAGCATAAACTGACATGTTCACTTTTAATGTTCTCTAGATCAGTTCTCTATGTAATATTGTCTTAGGTGCATGGTTTTGGGTTTTGTTGGTGGGTTTTTTTTTCTAAATTCATTGTTATTTACCTTACATTTATATTATACATATTGTTCATCTTTCTTTTGATTTTAGGATTTGTGCCTATTACCAGTGAAAGTAAACTTGTAGCAGTTAAAGGACCAGTACCATGCCAGATTTCTCTAAATTGCAAGAAAGCTACATTACCTGTTGCATTCACCTCACCTGCAACTCACTTCAAGCCTATTATTCTGCAACAAAATGAAAATATAACAAGGTTAGTATATCTTAAAGCAGAATGAGTTAAACTTGACAGTTAATTGTTAAGTCTACTGGAATTGTCAGCAAAAATAATTCTTTTTCCTTTCCAGAGAGATTCACACACCAGTTTCTGAGCAATTCAAGAAAGAGACAAGAAAAGAAAAACACATGGACAACAACAAATCAGGATTTACAGAAGACTCTAAAAGCTGTGCTACTGAGGACACAAGTGTTGCTGAACCTGAAATACATGAGTGTGATTTACAAGTTCCAGGCCACTCATCCCAAATATCTTCAGAAGAGCAAAAGCCAATCAGCACATTTACTTCTACAGTTACTTTACCAACACCGTCTGATTCCTCACGTATTCTAGAGGAAAAGAGCATATTACCTGAAGTTGGTTCAAACTCCTCAGCTTGTCCTACTTCTTCTAATTTTCTTCATATAAGTAACATCATTCTCAAACAGGACTCAGAGAAAAGAGTTACAACATTTGTACCAGTACATTTAGCTGTATCAGAGCAAATACCAAATAAACCTCTTCGTTCAAGAATTGCTTATGATTGCTATCATAGTTTGCCAGGGCTACTTTCAAGTACTATTGCAAGTTATAAGATAAGCATGCAGACAGAAAATGATGCTTCCCCTTACGAAGTGCAAAACTGCGAAGCTGCTAATACACAGAACAAGTTTGATAAAAGTAACCCAGTTATTCACACCACCTGCCAAGAAATTGAGTGTGCTGCCATTGTAGACAGTATTTTCACTGAACAAGGATACACACCATGTACCTCAGTGAATCAAGGAAATTCTTATCTCTTTGACGCTGAAGCCCTGTCCCCGCAGAACAGAACAAGTGACACTTTACTACAGGAAGTGGTTCATCTTATACAAGAGGAGTTTGCATTTGATGGCTATCTAGAGAATGGAGTTGAAGTTTTTGATATGGGTATGTAGCTTTTCTTCTGTAGGTTATCATCACTAATGTGCAAGAATATTGTTGTTAATGTTTATTTCTTTTTTCTTTTTAATAAGGTAACTTCATTTTAAACTTAAAGGAAATTAGATTTGGCATATTCTCCAATAGAATTTGTGAAAAGTTTTGTGACCTCTACTGGGATGAAAAATTACTGGAGAATCTCTATCAGGTAGTAAATGGAGAAAGACCTTCACATTTATGGTGGGTGTTTTTAAACTTTTTCCTTCCTGCAGTTCAATTTAGTGCTTTTCTCCCTACTTTCTAGAAGCAGGAAGGGATACGCTGCTTCTCTTCAGGTATCCTTACTTGTTTCCTGCGAACTGCTAATTTCACAGTCTATTAGATACGTTACGGCTTTCCCGATAGCAAATAGTACTTAATGGCTAAGCACTAAGCTTGTCTGTAACTCCCATTTTAGGACAGCTGAATAATGGAAACCTGATTCCAGTCAATATTGTTTTCAACCATTGGCTTCATGGTCTTGTTAGAAAGAGGCTGTTTAATTGGAAGTGAAATATATTTTTCTTGCTGTTCAGTTTGCTTGTTTTGTTTGAGTTTAGTTCTTAATACATTCTTTTGTTTTATTCACACCTAAGAAGAAGGAAATTAAGTTAGCTTTGCTAGAAATGCTTTTCTTAACTGGTTTAGTTTGATTCAGTGTTCCTCCTGGCAGTCTTTGTAATTGGCCTATTAAGTGAGAAAGCACCAGCATAATTAATTTCTCATTTTACTGTTTCATTTTCAATGACATATCTACCTGAAAATGATAAAAAGCATTATTGTTTTATTGCAGCCTCTAAATGTAGCATACTTATAAAAGCTTTTTCCTGAAGGCTATTGTAAGCAGTAATAAATTTATATGTGGAAGTTTTGTATGGGGTTTTTTGTCAGTCATGGTCTAGAATTACAAATTGGAAATTTTGACTTGGTAGATGTGATCTATAAACACTTCAGTGTATAAAATATGTATAATATGTCTAAATGTATATTCAGAAAGAATAGAGAACAACCTCCAGATATCAGACCCTGATATGCTGGTTTATTTCCTATTTGGGTTGGCTTTTTTAAGGAGCCATTGAAACTTGGTTGGAGCTTAGCTTCTTAATTCCCTCAAGTTGAATGTGATGGTAGGAGAAACTAGCTGTTGCAGCTGAATTACTGGCATATATTAAGATGATAAACCTCTGTATGAAATTTTGTTACAAAGTTTTTGAAAATGGAAGTGGAAAAGAAATCATCATTTAACCAGTAAAAAATACAAATCTAGTTTTTAGATCACAAGCAAGAACTGCCTGAGAATATCTCTGAGACACTACTTACTTCTTTAGACAAAGAATATTCTGAGACACTGCTATATTCTTTATTTGATATTTATTTTAGACAAAGAATATGGCAGGTTTTAATTGTTAATCTTCTTTGAATAAGTTATGTTATATAACTAATTATTATTATTAGGGGTGACTTGGAGTCAGACTGTTGTTAACCAGAGGCTGAATCCTGAGTGAAAAACCCATTACTGTAATTTGCAGTCTGAGTTATGCATGGATTTATGCCTTCTGTTTGTATGTGTTCTGATACTTCTCTTGGAATTTTACCAAATGCTGTAAGGTAAAATTTCCACATCTTGCTCAGTGTGTTTAATATCCATTTGAACATTTTCTTCTTGTAAAATAACTGAAGTTGAGCATGCAAACTTCAGGAGGTAGATATATTCTATGAAGCCCTTTACATACATAGAGCCATTTGTAAGATCTTATTTTACTGATGTAAATAGAGAGGTATATGAAACATTAATTTCCCCTGATTTTCTTATATTTTCAGCATAACTGAGGCAGATGATTCAGAGTGTGGCAATGTATTCCAAGATCTAAAGAATTTTGATAGCTTGTTGGCAAGCGGTGATCAGACAGAGGGTGAGAAAGGACTTCATGTTTCTAGATCTATGTGTGTGCTAGGAATCTATCAATGATACAAGTTTTGAGAGATAAGCACTTTAAGTGTGTCTTCAGGAAAATACCCACCTTACCACTTACAAGCATTATTAGTTAATCTGAACATCGGCCTTGGGGACCTGTTGTCTTTTATGTGAAGCTTACATGTGAACAAATGTCATTGAGTGAGATCCCCATTTCATTTACTTTTACTTACTCGTATTTACACAGGTGTGTCTGTTACAAAACTCCCAAAATCCTAACTGCTACATGTGATTTTCTTGTGTTCATCCACTTGATGTTCCAGTGGCATGCTTTAAAGGAGGGAGAGGAAAGGGGGACAGCCATACTGCATCAGCTCAAGACAGCATAGCAAGCTTAGCTGGGCAGAGAGGAAGCTTTAAAAGATGCCTATTAGTCCTTAGGTGTTACTGAAGAAGTTGAGGATTGATTGACTGAAGGATAGCTGTGCAACAGATCTGGTCCTTCTTTGTTCACTTATCAGAATTAAAAAAAACTAGGCAATAAAGTAAATAACATGCATTAAAATAAAAAAATTGTCAAAATTATTTACAAATTCTGGGGAAGGAAGTTGTACTGAAGTCTAGAAATTTCATAGCTTTTAGATTTAAATGGGTGTTTCTAACTTCATCAAAAGGGTTTTCATAAATAGGTAAAAAATAATAGTATTTACATCTCTCCTAGGAATTGTTCCACTTCCCTACTCTGTCCACTGAAGTGCCTTTTAAAGATAGATAGCAAAATGACAGTGGGACAAAGGATAATGAAGATAGTTTTGTCTTTTAGTCACAATCTTGGTTAGAGGACACCATTTCAGGGCACTCATTGAGGTTATTATATTAGTGGATTGTTTATTTGTACTTCACATTTTGAGTTTTTGGTAACTGAAGTAAAAACTGAGCTCGGACTGGTAAATCTCATTATTATAACAAAGCCATTATCCTTTCTGGGCTTAATATATTCATGAACAGCTTGTATTTGGTTGCTGTTGTACCAATATTTCCTGGTTGTTTTGGTGGGTTGTGGGGTTTGGGTTTTTTTGGGGGGGTTGTTTTGTTTTTTTTTTCCCCAGGATAGTTCAGCCAAGTGTCAGCATTTAAACTTGGTGACTTCTCTGTTTTGATTAAACTGTGTGTTCTTTACAGAATGGATTATATCCCTACGTTTTACAAATTCGTGTTTTGCCATAAAAGTTAAGTTTGCACTTGGCTGCTGTCATTCTGTGTTAAAGTCTTCTATTTTGGCTCAGAATGATTGCAAATGTAGAGCCAGACTCTCCCATGGGATATGTGGTTTCTTTGCACCAGTAGTTTAGGTCCCTCTGACTCCAAGGTGGCATATCTAAGCCCTAAAGGGTTGCTCAAGTGAAAAGGGAGGCTTTTCACTTGAAAAAAAGGAGACTACTGGCAGGTGTAAAAGCTCCTGTCATCATACCAACCTGTGACTGTCTCTTCTGTCCCTTAAGGTTGGTAATAGTGGTCAGAACTGTAAAGTCCCATCATAGCTCAAGGGAGTGAGTCCTGTAGGAGTAGAAAGTTTAGCATCTACATCCCCTTTGGCTATATAAAATATTCTTGCCTTCTATGTATGGAATAAAAACTTCAAGACTTATGGATGGAAAAAGACTCAAGAGCTAAGCTTTTTACTAGTGTTTGCACAGGTCTGACATACTTTTGTTTTAAAGCTTCTGTACTTAGCTTGTTTTTAAATGCTTGTTCCATATGCACAGAAAATATTGTGATATTTTCATAATTGTATTGTTTAATTGTTGCTTAATAGTTCTGAAATGTCTTCAACCTATATCACTGTACAAAACCACAGAGCCAAAATAAGCATCTAACACCACTGTTAGAGCACATAGGTAGTCTCATAACTGTGCTTTGTATGTATAGTGTTTAAGTTCAGCAAACCATGCATCACAGCATATGACTCTTATTTCTTTCCCCCCATACACCCTCTTTAGGAGAAGGGGAAGCAGCCTTTGATGTCAAGGCTGAGCCTATGATAAATACATCATTAGGTGAAATGGAATTTGATGAGTCACCTTTGGATAATATCAAAAAAGAATTGAGGCTGCAAAATACTGTCCCCTTAGAGAAAGAGCAACAATGTTTACAAGGCAATGACAGTCGTATTGGTCCAGGCTTTGCAGAAGACAATATAGAGCCCGAGGAAAAGACCATGATAAAGATGGCTGGAAACAGCTACCTTGCGTCTCCCAACCTACCTGACTTTCACAGCTGTAGTCCTGGTTGGAGCAGTGCATTTTATGGAGCTGAATGTTTTGATTCAGAAGTTCAAAATTACATGAAAAACCTTGGAAAGCAGAAATCAAGTGAGTCACAAAATATAGATGCTAAAAAAGTGGTGAGTACATTGATTTAAAATCATTAAGATACCTCTTTATTTGCCAGTTAAAAGAACTGTAACAATTGTTTTGTTTTAGTGAGTTGAAACTCTCTTTCTTCTGATAAGTACTGACTCCCAAGTGGTTTAAAATCCTCAAGATTTGTGATGTGTGACCAATAAACCAGGGTAGTATTCCAAAATAAAGTCTTCCATTACCTAAAAGATTATATCAATCACATTTACTTCCATTTCACATTTGTGCATCTATGTATAATGAGCTTCACTTTGTAAATATTTTCGTAATATTGCAGGTCCAAAGCTACAGAGTAAGGATAATATATAAAAATGTAAAAATCCATATAGGTTGAGCTGGATCATGGGAAGGAAATGGGAATATTTAAGTATATGAGTCAGTGTTACTGGAAAACCTGTTAGTATAGGGACATCTGAAATCTTTTTGTGTCCCTGCGAATAGTTTAGGTATTATTATTGTTTCTGCCAGATACATGCTTAATAAAGATGAAGGAGGATATGCACTGGTCTTTTTCAGCAAGTTAAAGCTCCTTAATGTTCAAGTGTAAGTCCATAGGAGAAATTAGCATGAGAAGCTATTGCTTTGTGTAAAAATAAATGTTTTTTTAAAAGAGTATTCATATCTGTCACTCTCAAATTTCCATATACTGAAGAAGTCCTATTTTTAATCCTAGAAAGCTGTTTAATCCTGTGTAAGCATGCCAACTAGAGAAAAATGGGTTTGTGTAATCTCCCTTACTTGAAGGATAGTTTTTGATGGAAAAACAGATTTTTTGCAAGTAAAGGATTTTTCATAAGCATCTGAGAAAGATTTTTCTGTTTCAACAGGCAGTACTTTTGAGATTTTACAGGCTACTTGTTAACTTAGTTTGATTCAAAAGTTATCTTCTGAGTTCTTGGCAGTTGTTTTCCCTATTTAAGAGATATTTTTAAAAATTTAAGCATTGTATAGAATGGAATGGAATGGAATGGAATGGTTAGGGTTGGAAAGGACCTTAAGATCATCTAGTTCCAACCCCCCTGCCGTGGGCAGGAACACCTTACGCTAAATCATATCACCCAAGGCCTCGTCCAACCTGGTCTTGAACAGTGCCAGGGATGGAGCATTCACAGCTTCCCTGGGCAACCCATTCCAGTGCCTCACCACCCTAACAGGAAAGAATTTCCTTCTTATATCCAATCTAAACTTCCCCCGTTTAAGTTTGAACCCGTTACCCCTTGTCCTGTCACTACAGTTCCTAATGAAGAGTCCCTCCCCAGCATCCCTATAGGCCCCCCTTCACATACTGGAAGGCTGCTATGAGGTCTCCATGCAGCCTTCTCTTCTCCAGGCTGAACAGCCCCAACTTTCTCAGCCTGTCTTCATACGGGAGGTGCTCCAGTCCCCTGATCATCCTCATGGCCCTTCTCTGGCCTTGTTCCAAAAATTCCATGTCCTTTTTATGTTGAGGACACCAGAACTGCACACAATACTCCAAGTGAGGTCTCACAAGAGCAGAGTAGAGGGGCAGGATCACCTCCTTCAACCTGCTGGTCACGCTCCTTTTGATACAGCCCAGGATACGGTTGGCTTTCTGGGCTGCAAGCACACACTGAAGCCGGCTCATGTTCATTTTCTCATCAACCAACACCCCCAAGTCCTTCTCTGAGGAGCTGCTCTGAATCTCTTCTTTGCCCAACCTGTAGCTGTGCCTGGAATTGCTCTGACCCAGGTGTAGGGCCTTGCACTTGGCATTGTTAAGCTTCATGAGGTTGCCATCAGCCCACCTCACAAGCGTGTCAATGTCCCTCTGGATGGCATTCCTTCCCTCCAGTGTATCAACCGAACCACACAGCTTGGTGTCATCGGCAAACTTGCTGAGGGCGCACTCAATCCCACTGTCCATGTCAGCGACAAAGATGTTAAACAAGATCGGTTCCAACACCGATCCCTGAGGGACGCCACTCGTTACTGCTGGTCTCCAGACCAGTAACTAGTAACTTTATGGTGTTTACAGTCTGCTTTGGAATTTGCTTATGAAATTAATGCGTACTGTTATACATTGCTACTATATGCATTAATATGTAAGAGCTTGGATAACCCAACAACATTGCAGGAGGCTGGGGGGGGGGGGGAGATAATCATGAGATATCTCTGTAGAAAATTATATTGTGTTCATGCCCAGAACTGGAGGACAATTACTATTGATACAAAGCTCAGTTTAGCAATTAGTAAATAATTCTTTTAGAGAGTAAAAGAATGTACATTCTGATAGCTGAAAAAGATACACACTACTCTGAGGATAAATGAACTAATCTTCTTAATGGTATCTAAAATCTGAAATCTTAATAGCCAGACAAAAATTAGACTCTGATCTTATTCTCTCTCAGTAGTGCAGAAATAATGTATGTGATCTGGACTGCATATGAAGCCAGGTGGACAAACAAGAATAAAATAATTATTTGGAGACAATAGAAGCTTGGTATCTTACATAAATAGTATTCCTAATTTGTGACATCACTTTGTATCTAAGTTACAAGCGATACAATTAGAATCATAGAATCATAGAATAGTTAGGGTTGGAAAGGACCTTAAGATCATCTAGTTCCAATCCCCCCTGCCATGGGCAGGGACACCTCACACTAAACCATCTCACCCAAGGCTTTGTCCAACCTGGCCTTGAACACTGCCAGGGATGGAGCATTCACAGCCTCCCTGGGCAACCCATTCCAGTGCCTCACCACCCTAACAGGAAAGAATTTCCTCCTTATATCCAATCTAAACTTCCCCTGTTTAAGTTTTACCCCAATACCCCTTGTCCTGTCACTACAGTCCCTAATGAAGAGTCCCTCCCCAGCATCCCTATAGGCCCCTTTCAGATACTGGAAGGCTGCTATGAGGTCTCCACGCAGCCTTCTCTTCTCCAGGCTGAACAGCCCCAGCATTCTCAGCCTAAAATTATAAATTGTCACTTTTTTTTATTAAGTCAAATTCAGTTTATATTTCACTTTATATTCAGAGAAGATTATTAATGGAAGATTAAATACACTTGTATGGTGTAGAAATGTTTTGAATACATTGCAAAAGAAGAGTTAATTTCAGAAAAAGCATGTATGTGCAGATACTTATATTCTCTCTTGTACTATTTATATAAAAAGTCTTGGCATACTAGAATATTCAGGTATATCATCTTAAACCCATAATATTTTTAAATATTATTTCATAATTTTTATTAAAAATGTGTTTTAGGTGTCTTGTTGCTACAAATTCAGCAGAGGATACTTTAAAATACCAGTTACTTTTTGGTCTCCTGGCTATTTTTATTTCTTTCACTACCATAGAATCAACAGTTTTAAACTTTCTGCTGGCATTGCTCCACTGACTTTCTGTGAAATCCAGCTTCTTCCAAATGTGTTTAAAATAAAAACTGACAGGATCATATTCCTCTAATTGCAGCAATCTTCAACATTTAACCTGAGCAAAGAAAACCTTTCTAAAATCCTGCTGTTTTTCCAAACTCCATCAATCATGACAATTTCTGAAATAAACTATTAGCAGTATTGCTGAAACAAGATGAACTGTTACAAGTTTTAAGTGGCCAATATATATAAGAAAGACAGAGAAAAAATATTAAACTGAAATTTATTTTTCTGATATTGCAACAGTCACGAGATGATGATTCTAAGCTCTTAAGACAATCCATTATCAACATGTAGCTAAGCAGCTCTGCCCAGCTTCTTTCTCCTGTGTCTTTGCTGCCTGATTCATCAAATCAGTTTTATTTCAGAAACCAGTTCCTTGATTGACAAGGGGTAATGGGTACAAACTGGAACACAAGAGGTTCCACTTAAACTTGAGAAGAAACTTCTTCTCAGTGAGGGTGATGGAACACTGGAACAGGCTGCCCAGGGAGGTTGTGGAGTCTCCTTCCCTGGAGACATTCAAAACCCGCCTGGACGCATTCCTGTGTAACATTATCTAGGTGTTCCTGCTCCGGCAGGGGGATTGGACTAGATGATCTTTCGAGGTCCCTTCCAATCTCTAGCATACCGTGATACTGTGATACTGTGATTAATTGTAGTCTGATTTTCATTGTCTAACAAGGACTATATTAACCTACTTCTTGCCCCAGGTCTTTGACAGATTTATGAAAAGTTAGCGATAAAGTTGACCTGATTCTACAGCTTTGCAGTAAAACTAAAGCAATGTTTAAGAGTTACTGTTTCAAAGGGTGAATGTTTAAAGGTAGTTACACATTTGAGTTTCACTACATTTGTCCCAGCTTAGTGGCACTTCTCTTTCATAGGAATAACTCTGCTTGATCAACGCAAGTCTAGTCTGCAGCTGGAACTGAGTACTGAATGAGAGTCTAACCACACAACAAATTACAGTTTTGGAGACATGTACATCTCACTAATACATTAATCTCTCCAATGAAAATATTAATATAATTCAAATGTATATTTATTCACATTCTAAAATTAAATGCAATTAAATTTATTTTGTTCTTTAATTTTGTATACCTCTAAGTAGGTTTGAGAACACAAAAGTTCTGAGAAACTCTGAGTGCCAGAACATACATTTATGACAGAATTAAGTATTCTGCCATTAAAATAACGAACTTTTCTATTTTTCTACTGGGAACTGTTAGATATTGTTTGCACCTTAGGTTGTGACTTAATAAGATGCAAAAAGTAAAACATTTATTGTATGATGAGCAATATTGGCAGTAGTATTAATCAAGTTATGATTCAAAAAAGGTAATATGCACTTTTATGTTTGGAAAGAATGTGAAATAGCATAAAAATAAAATATTTATGGATCAGGGTGACACTTTCAAGGGTCATAAAGATAATCAATGCTTTACTGTGTAAGTGCTTATCAGTTCACTGCAGTTCAGGTGCTTATCAGATAGTTCTTTGTGGTTCTTAAGGTCAGCAAAGGTTAATAGGCATTTAGAAAAGTTAGTCCTTATAAGGCAAACAAGTGTATGTTCCCTGCATCACATCATCTCTAGTCCAGGAGCTGCTGATTTTGCACTCTCGTATAGAGTGCAATACAGGCAAAGCAAACCAAGTCCTTGAAGGGAAGGTAGGTACTAGAGCTGCAGTTTCTCCAGGGGGATGTCCAAGTCTGCCCTCATAATACGAGGGGTTTTTTCCGTAGTCTGATAAGCTGGCTTCAGGTTTTTTTGCAGCCCCAAGCCTTCACCCTTAGCCTTTGCTCTTTTCTTCTTTGCACACACTGGGTTTCAGCTATCCCCTAGATCTCATAAGCTACTTGTAAGAGTCTCCACTAAACTTTAGTGCACCCAAGCTGTGACTAGATTATTGCTAGCAAAGGTTTTGCATGTTCTGGATGCAGTTCTCCCTTTCCCATTCCTTTTCTCTTTTCCTTTCTCTTCTGCCAATATTCTGCATCTTTTGGTGGAGTCACCCATAAAATTTATGCTTCAAGGACAGATTGGAATTTGTAATTTTCCCAAGTAAGCAAAGTCACTCTGTCATTACTTTGTGCCCTAGACTAAGGGATGTTTTGCAGAAATACGTCCTGACAAATAAATGTATTTCAGAGGGAGCAGAACCATTGAATGTGTAGCTTCATCAAAAATGTTTATATCCTAGACCTACCTAAACTGGAAGATGTTGGGGAATAGACTGGGAATTTGCTACTGACTTTATCTCTACTCACCCGAGTTTATTTATGGAACAAACCACTTCTGCCTGTCAGATTCCAAGTATCAGAAAGTGGTCACTCTTTCTGATTCCCTCTCTGTTTTCATAGTGTCTTAATCAACTTGGTTTCAATTTAATTGATGAAACAAAACCAAGTCTTTAAGTAAAAGCAAGCAATTTCCAACTCAGAATCAGGTAATAGCTTTTCTTGTGCTTTCATTATTCTCTACGTGGTGCCTATGTAGCAGTGTTTTAAAAATCCACAGGGCTTTTGTGACTCTTCCTGCTAATGAACTATGTTGTTAAACCTTTTGAGCTTTTCTGAAAAACAGTGACAGGTTTTTCTCAAACTTAAATTAATTTCTAGTAAGCCCTTCCCATTAAAGCTAACCTATTTACCAATCTGTTGTTTGATATGTTAGCTCTGAGCTATGTGTTTTCTGATTGCTATGCTTGTGGGAGTTCTGTCTGCTGTATTCAGTGAACTTACTCCATTTAAAATGCTGTTTCATGTAACTAGGTCACTGGTAGTTAGCTTAGGACCCAAGTGCAAAAGCCACCACTTCTATAAAATACAACACACATCATGTTTGGTGTTTCATAATAAATAAGAAGCTGAACCCAAAGCAGATGGCCCATTTTCATTGGTTGGTAAAGTAATGAAATCTTTGATATGCAAACAATTATAAATGTTTACATGAAATTTTATATTAATGTGAGGAGCCTGCTATAAGAAATTTAGTTCATTTTTTCAATTATGTAAAATGCATAAAGATAAAATATGTAATCCAAACTTCAAACTTGGTATGTCCTTTATAGAGCAGCTCTCCTGTCTGCTGTCTGACCTGGTTCTGTAATATAATGTAATTCTAAATGTTTGAATGAAAGCATCACTTTCATCAGACATTCTGTTCTTACTGCAAATATAGGTCAGCTACTTAACAGAGATTTTCTGGGGTCTGCACTGATTTCAGAACCCATCACTTTTAATTCTGAATGACTTCTGGGTATAACTTTTTTAACTGCTTCGGAAAACAGTGAGATAAGTGCAATTATAACTAAAGGTGTATTTATAAAAATGGATTCAGGCAAACTTCAGTGCAGTCTCATCAAACACAAACTAGTTCTAGTTCTGAAGTTGTAGCACCGTACCATAACGAATGCTTTCATGGGGACAGGTGATGCCTGTTGTAGCTTGCCTGTAAGCAGAGGTGTGAAGGATAGTTACTCCTGGTTAATATGTTATTGTCTGTTTGGATGTTCTCTTTTTCATGCAAAATAATTTTCTTCTTAAACTTCTGTTTCCCACTAGAACCTTGCTTTTACCATTCTAATCAGAATCTTTTTTCTCTTTAAATAGGAACTAGAACAGTTGCTAATGATGGAGACAAAAAATTACGGAAAGACCATAAAGTTTTACCAGAAACTGTTACAGAAAGAAAGAAGCAGGAAAGGTAAGATTACAGCAACTTGCCAGTAATGAAATGGATGTGTAGTATTTTAAGGATTTTATTTTATTATTTTTCCCTGTAAATCAGAATCAGTGATGTTCTTACACTGTGCATTTTAAATTTAAAGGTCCTGAAACTAAATCTATGTTGCCCAAACTGAGAGAACAGCTACAGGAGATTAAATCAAAAGTACAGTTTCTTGAACTGGTGAAGAAATATGTGCAGGCAAGTCAGACTTTATTATGTTTCATTTGTCATTTCATCACTGCATCAGTGTAGTTGGCTGCTCAAGTCAGGATATGAAATGCAAAATGTTTGGTGTCAAAGTGCCAAGTTAAGTAGGATCTAAATTAGCAAAAGAAAAAGTAACTGCTATTGGTATTGCTTAGAAGTTAAAATATAAATAAAGCAGTTGCATAATGAAATGTGATTAGGCTTTGACTGCATTTTGTGTGGATTTTCCTCTTTAGTTTCCTACGGTTCATGTTTTCATGGCTTTGCATCTTTGAGCAGATCATGTACGCAGAGCAGTGGGGTGTGGAATCCTGTGTGCTGCCTACAGTCATTCGCAACGGGAGAACTGACATGGTGGATGTGACACCTACAGATGAGTCATCAGTGCTTCTTTACTATAACACAGAGAAACATCAGTGTAATAAACAAAATGGAACAGGAGTTCTGCAGGCTGGTACACCACTTGGTTTAATGGCTTATTTATATTCTAGGTATAGTATCTTTTGCATGTCCTTAATTTAGAGTGGGTTGAGGCATAGTTGCTAATTCAGGAAAAAATAGTCTCTGTGATAAATCCTAGTTCCTCAACATTGCATAAATTCCCCTCTCTTGAATCGAGTTTAATGTCATTTCTGTGAACAGTTATTTACAGAAATGGGCATGGAAATGGCAAAAGACAACCTGATAAGAAATAGGCCAAACTGTTAAGTTTGGATTCAATTAAAACTTGAAGCATTTGATAACAAATCAAAAACTAGTAACTTATAACTTTTTAATCCTGTATTTATTTAAGGTTTTGCTCTTATGGTTGCCATGGAATCAAGGCTTTATGTTACTGCCAGCAGGATAACAATTCTTCAAAACATAAAAATTGATAATTCTTATTAATAGGGTCTGGATATGAAAATGTTTTACAGATTATTGCCCCAGTCCTTGGGACTGATCAAGATGCAGGCTTCTTTCAGGGCTTCAATGGGGACAAAGATGTCCTTTAATCTTTAACTAGGGTGAGGGCAGTGTTGTTTTAGGGTGCCTGAGACACAACGGTATGAAGGATGGAAACTGCCTGAGAGGCTTCATCAGACTTGTGCCACTATAGAGGGAGCAACTTATTCCCAGCTGCTTCTTCCAGGTCATCCTGACTTTTCAGAATCAGTTACTTATCCTGAGTGTTGCTGTTCCTGAGAGTTAATGTTATGCACAAAGTGAAGAAATTGTTTTAGTCAGAGCTCCCACATGTATCAAACCCAAATTTTTACGGTTAGCCGTAAACCGTCAGGGAGACAGGACAATTAATCTGTGTTCAGACCTTGAGAGTATGTGTGTGTATAAAAAAAAAAAATGCACATTTTAAATGTGTGTAATGAGTATATTCTGTTGTTAAAACAACCCCTACTCTAATTAGAGCTACAGGAAATATTTTCTTGCTTAAAGTATCTACTTTTTATGCTGTTATTATAATAAAAATCTTTTAAAGTGAGATGATGGGGAAAAAATTTAAACTTGTTCTTCCATACTACTTAAAAGGTAATTTTTTATCATAATGGAGATGTGGTTATTCACAAAATTGCAAATAGAGAAACTTTTTTTTAAACAAATTATGCTTTCAGTGTTGGCAATCACAATATTTGGTGTGTAAAAACAAAATAAAAAGGAATCGGGTTTTTATGTACAGCTTCAGAATTTAAAATCCCTGTTAATTCATGATATTTTGAGGAATTTTTTTCTACTGTTGTAGTCTGATGCAAGAAGGAAATGTGGTTTTACTTGTCTGAAGTTTTTCTTGTTCTTCACAGAAATGCATTTTTAGAAGGCTATGTACAGCAGTTTCTCTACACATTTCGCTATTTCTGCACACAAGAAGAATTTTTGCAGTTTCTTCTTGATAGAATCAGCAGCACTTTGTCCAGGTACAGTAATTTCCTGTGAAAAATTGTATTAAAGCACAGTTGTCCTCAGTTGTGTCCCCTCCCAATGGCAAATAGCTGTTTCTGAACAGCTCTACCTAATTAAATTGAATTTTGATGGTTTTTTTTGTAAGACTCTCTTGTAAAGTGAGATTGACCCTAGAGCAAGTGCTATGTATGACAGTGTGCTTACTTTTTTTTTTTTTTTTTTTTTAGTTCTGAATTCTTACTTTTAATAGTTGTTCGGTGGTGGGTTAAGTACAACTACAGCTTTGTTTCCATAGAGCCATGGATTCTAGAGCCATGAAGCTCAAGAGTAGATAGTGCAGTCATTACCAAATAATACTTGTGATTTTTTTGAACACATAATGCCTTAACACTTTGAAAATAAACTTGTGGTTTATTGAACAATTATTTTTAAATTTGGATTGGATATCAGTTTTGGTTAAAACAGTTCCTTTTTCTTCTCACCAGTGCAAGCCTGGGTCCTTCCACCTCACTTACCAAAATATGTAACCGCAGTTTCTACATCCTGCAGGCTTGGATTGAAGACTGCTACAGTGTAGACTTTGCAACAAATACTGATCTTTTATGCACCTTAAAAGAATTTATTTCTTCCAAGGTAAGTCAGAATTTCAGTAGAGGCTTAAAGGGGGGGAAAATATATAACCAATTTAAGTCAGTTAGGGTATATGTAAGATTCTTATTGCAAAAAACTGTCCTAATTACAATTAAAAGAAATATACTGCTGTCTTTGACAGCTATGTTGAATATGTCTGGTTTTGGACAGACATGGATTTTTCAACTGTATTGTCTTGCTTATATTTTATGGGAAATTTAGTTCAATATTCTGTTAACCTGTTTTGCATTTACAGGTTGCTCCATTAAATGGCTATGGTGAGCGATTGTTGTCATTGCTTGAGGATGCTTCTGCCAGGAGAAGTGGCAGTGCTTATCAGAACTCCAGCCTGGACAAATGTGAAGAGGAAGGTGAGAAGGACAGAAAAACATTACATTCCATATGTAAAAAACTCTCAGAAGACGCTTCCCGAAAGGTATGTCTTTTCACCAGACTGCAGTATATGGAACACATTTCCATCGGTTGTTTTCTGACAAAAACTAGAGATCCAGCTCATGGTCAAGATCCTGATTTAGCAAAAATTATCTACCTGCATTTTAAATTTTCTGTTGGAAGTATTTAAGGCCTAAACTGTTCTATAACTGCAGAAATAATCTTAAGCCTTAATTGTGCCCTGTCAGCTGTTTCAGTAATGTAGAACACGTAATAATTTTGAGAGAACTTGAACTCTTCATCCTTGATTCTACCATGTGACTTACCGAGGAAACTTTTTCCTCCTTGTCAAAGATAAATACTTCTTATTGGGCATATATCTTTGTAAGACTATAGTCTTACAACAGCAGGAGGTGAGAGGGTTTCTGCTGAAACTTCAAAGCGTTGTAGCAGAAACTTGTCTAAACTTTTGTCCACCTTTACTGATTTATATAGTGTGCTAGTGAAAAATAACCCCAGAAGCCGGAATATGCTGTATAATACTTTTCCTGAAAAAAAGACCTTTCTCTACAGAGTGACCAAAATGACATGTGGAAGTCAAATGTACCTGTAATGTGTAAGTTGAATTTAGAATCAGCCTTCTGAAAAAGGTGCAGAATTCCATGGAGTATGCTGGGGATTCAACCATTAAAGGGCAAGCAGAATAGAGAAACATGGACTTGTTTTATTCTCACTGTATTTTAATGATACTGGAAGATAGAAAAAGGGAAAAGAATGGAAAACCAAATTTTTTTTTTTTTAAAGGATGTTTGATGCTAATTAAAAACAGTACAAGAAATAGTAAGACGTAGAATATAAAATATAGAACTTAAGAGTATGAACCATATTATAGCATTAAGCCTGAATGCACAGAAGGTTGTTTTAAATACTGATCTGGCAACCTACTGTACAGACTCATCGACTGTGAGTATTAGTTTAAAATAGCAGTGTTGAATAAACCAATCAGTGTCTGGGCTAACCTTGAAGATGAACTGAAAAGTTTTGCATCCACAAGCGTGTTCCTCTAACAGAACATTCCAGGAAGTTACATCAAGTAGAGACAATGTTTGCTTTAAAGAAGTTGTAGTTTGGTTTTTTTCTTCCCTACAGAACTTTAACTGGAAACTTTTGAAAGGTGTGGGACCAATTGCACAATATCAGAGAGAGCGACTGTACACTGGTTCATCAGTTTTGCCAAAGCCATGCTATAACACTTTAACAGAAGAATTCCCAGTCTCCTTCACTAAAGCAGATGAAGTAGGACCGTATCTCTTAATAGAATACAGTGTGCAACAGCTTTGTTGTCAGCTGACATTACTGCAACAGGTACAGAGGTCTAGGTTTACTTGGAAGTACAAATAATGTCTATCTTCTTAATTTTACTCAGCCTTCTTTCCTTAGCATTTCCCAACCCTCTTTCAAGCTATTTTGTATTACTTCATAAGACTTTGAATTAAGACGATCCATTTTTCTCTGAACTTTCTACGGTAAAATTTAGGCTGTGATCCCTCTGATAAATTTGCTGAAGAGACGGGAAGGGGAGGCAGGAGGAGAAGAACTGTCTGTTGTTTTTATCCCTGAATATTTTAAAAGAACTGCTTTATCTTAACAACAGCTATATCTTGCTCTTTTTGTTTAGGAAGTATTTCATAAATGTCATCCAGTACACTTTCTAAATTCAAGAGCACTTGGTGTTAAAGACAAATGTGTTTCTGTCCAAAAGTAAGTTACTTATTTTAACTGCCCTCTATTCTGTTGATGCATAATAACTTACTGTGTTATACCTTTAATATGTTCAGGAAGAGGGAAACATTTGAAATACTTAATATCTTTTCAACAGACTAGATAGTCTGTTTATATAAATATTTTACTTTCAGGAGATTTTATACATTTGTAGGTGCATGTACCTGTGCACGTATGTGGTAGGTCACATTTGAAAGGTGATTTCTTTTAAATTTAAAGTGGGTCAGGCCAAAATATTTCTGAAGACTTGTCCTGGGGGGTTGCTTCAAAGGTTCCATTTTTGGCAGAAAAAAAAAAAAAGAAGAATAGTTTCTGTAACAGGCTTTGTGATCATGCATGTTTGTATGTATATAAAATCTCAGTGACCATTGTAGTGTCACAGAATAGATGAGGTTGGAAGAGACCTTTCAAGGTCATGTAGTACAACATTCCCTGCCTTAAGCAAGTTCAGTGAGAGCAGGTTGTTCAGACTTTGTGCAGTTGGGTTCTGAATGTGGATGGAAACATCAGAGCCTCTCTGTGCAATGTTCATTTTGTACTGTTAGATAGATGAAGTATCAAGTATTCACAGATAGATAAGAATTTTCCTCTAGTTATTAAAGTGGTTATCAACCTATTTAAATTACTTGCTCAATGGTAATTGTTGTTTTCATCCAGCTACATGGACCTAATTATATTTGATTATGGTCTGCTTCTTATATATTCAGTGGATTCAGCTAGCTTTTAATTAATACTTGTTAATTGCACTATCATCTGTAGTAGACTTTTTTTTAAGAGCAGGGAATGAATATCTAAGGCAGCTCATCTTTTACAGATTGTCAAATGACAGAGGCTAAATTTGCTGGTTTATACTGATTCGGTCATTCAAGCACGGGAAACAAACTGTATGGTGCCACTAGGTATCAGGCTCAATTTTTTACGTGACTGCAGTTTTTAATGAGTTTGGATTTCTGGCTGTTATTTTGCACCAGATTAGATGGTTTGGTTTATTTAGTAACAAGTGGTGAAAGTGTCTTTATGTATAGAAATGTATACTACATCCTTATCTTGAAATTACATATAATTATCTTCTAATTATAGAGAAAAAAGTGACATAATTCACTATGTACTTTGTAAAAGATCATAAACTCAAGACTGCAAACACTGCAAAATCATTTTAAATGGTTAGAAGCTGGCATCTTCACAATCAAGATTTTCTTTGAAAATCCAAAGTCAGCATCAATTATTTTTGCCTTTTTTTCCCCATTTTCTCCATAGAGCTGTTTCTGCTGAGACAGTTTCTTTTAAAGTCTGTAATCTGTTTCTGTCAAAGTGCATACAAGACCAGTACCTTCTACAATTATTAAGAAATGCAGACAGTGTCAGCACCTGGGTTGCTGCTGAAATTGTAACATGTCACACATCTAAGGTTTGTCATTGTTTTATTGTATTATTAATTATGAAATAGTTATTGTTATTGTATAGGAGTTGCTATATAGCAAAGCTGCCATAAATATTCTGAAGTGCACCTGTAAGGGGGCAGTTAAAAATCCAGTTTGCAAGGAGGGTCTTGGATGTTTTATAGTAGATCTCAAAACTTATTAAAATTTAAGAAATGGGTTGCCTGAGGAGAATAGATGTCAGACAAGAACAACTTGGTGACAGAAAATGGGAATTTTTGTGTTGGAGGGAAATGTTATCACAATCAACAATTTTGGTAACAAATTCAAACAGAAAATGCATCTCCTTTTTTTTCCTTCTCATTTAATTTTATTATGTAGATTTATGTAGATTTACTATATATATTTAGTATATATTTTATAGAGAGAGAGTATATCTTACTTTTTTTTTCAGCTGCAGGTGAGCTTGTTGTCAAAATTTCTTCTTATAGCAAAACACTGCTATGAACAAAGAAATTTTGCTACTGCGATGCAAATCCTAGCAGGCTTGGAAAATCTTATTGTACGACAGTTACCAGTAAGTTTGGGGCTCTGTTCTGCAACTATTCTGCTTAACATAATCTTTTTCCAATATAGATGTTAATGTGAAAAACAAAAATGTATTTTGTTTTCTTGTAAGGCCTGGAAAATTTTACCTGCAAAAGTAGCTGAAATAATGGAGGAACTCAAGGCTGTTGAGGTATAGTATGATGTCTTTAATATAAAAACACTTCTTTGGGGTTGCAGAAGATGCAAATTCTGCTTAAGTGGGTGCATCTGCAGCATGAAAGCCATAATTATTATTTTGTATTATAAAGGAGTTAATTTAAGACTTCTGACTCTTAATCCAAGAGGTTTACATGAATTTTCCTCTCAGTATTTCTCAAGAACATATCCTGTGTGACTAAAAATAAAGGCATTTCAAAGCAAGCTAGATCATTAAATACACTTTTTCTGACAATGTCTGCAGAAATTTTGTGGCTGTAATCTGTTTTGAAAAATCTTAAATGTTTGTTTTATCAGAGGCATTTTCTCACTGATCTGTGCAATTTTGAATCAGAGTGAAGTTCTAAAATATTATTTTGGTTATGATTTAGAACAATTATAATTATGTATGAAGTATCTTTTGATTACTTACTTTCTGTGCTTTAAAATGTTTGCCACCAGGTTAATTCATAGTGTAGTCTTCAATGCCAGAAGTTAATATTCATGACAAACAAATCTGTAGCGCTAAACACATGAAGTGGTGAACTTCTGTTAAAACCTGCCCCAATACTTAATGTGAGATTGATCTGTGTGTGTTTTTAAACTAGGTGTTTTTAAAAAGTGACAGCTTGTGCTTGATGGAAGGAGAAAGATTCAAAACACTTCCAACAATTCCATCAGCCCATGTTTTGGCTATGCATGTCCAACAACTTGAAACTGGGGGATTCACAATGACAAATGGAGCTCACAAGTGGACTAAACTTAAGTAATAATTTTAATTATATGTGTATGTCACCTGACTTTTTAAAATAGACTGTTGTCTAAAGGGATAATGAAAGCTAATGCAACATTTCACAGCAGTTTAAATGGTTTCAGTCAAAGGGATATACACTGTAGAAGAGAATGCTCGATGCCTTTGAATTTCTTTCAAAGTTTGTTTTTGGGGAGTTTGGTTTTGGTTTTATTGTCAGCATAAGAAACTAATTTTTTTTTTTTACTATATTCTCTTTCAAGAAATATTGCAAAAGTTGTGAGCCAAGTTCATGCATTTCAAGAGAATCCTTACACATATACACCAGATTTCAAGCTGCAATCTTACCTCAGACAAAGAATAACTCGCTTTAAAGACGCAGATGTTTCTGCCTTGGCAGCTGACAACTGTGCCAACTTCCATCAGATACCAGCAGAAAAACATTCTCGAAAAATTCAGGACACACTGCGCAGAATGAAGGCAACATTTCAGTAATTATTTACATTTCATCTGTTGTATTCAAAGTGTGGATTGTAAGACTAGATTCAGTTGACTTCATCTCCTGGACCGATTCCTAAGCAGATACTTAAGGGAAGTGACTTAAAATACTATCTCAAGTTGACATAATTATATTTTTAACATGGAATTATAAAATGCTGACTAATGAAATTTGAATCCCTAGCAACTGGATGAAAGATCAAAAGAATAGAGGTAAAGATAAAAGTACAAAGAGTGTAGAAGAAAAGGATGACTAATTCTCACTGTTGTTTAGCATTAAAAAAATAATTAACCCCAAAACAAATATCTAAACAATACTGTTGATATACATTAAAATTATAGCTTCTGTTGCAAAGTTGGCTTAGGAGAGTTCAGAGTATAGTTCATTAAATGTTGAGAATATTTTTATATAAACATAGTACACTTGTATCCTGTCACAGTGGTCATATAATTCAGGGACACAGATCATCTGCGATCCTTTCACTGTTGGTGTGTCTTGCTTTTATGTTGTGTATTTTGAAAACTATAATTCAGTTAAAGAATTTGCCATCTTTTTCTTCAAGCATACTGAGGAAGGAGAGGAATGCCATGCTGCAACATTTTTTTTATTTATTTTGTTTTGGTTTTTAATGTCATCAAACTAACCTTTTTCCAAGTGAAAATAAGGTCTGAATCTAAATATTATGAATTTATTGCTTTGCTCATGGCCTTGTCAAAACAGTAAGTGTGAAATTGCTTTTTTTTTTTCCTGTATTGGGCACAAGAATCAATTTGTGTATGTATGTATGTGTGCAGATTTGATTATGGCTTTTGCTCCTGAGGTTTCTTTTGTAGACTGCAGTGCTCCAACAGCATTAAGTAGAAGATAACTGTGTGAAATTTGGATATGCAACTTGTAAAACTTCAGTGATAACCTGTTTGTAGAGCTTATACTTACAAGACCTTCTAAATGGCAATGAATTGTGATGCTGTTGCTAGGAAGTTTGTTGAGCTACCCAGGTTTATGCAAAGCCAAATTATTAAGGCTACAAATTAGTTACAAATGCAAGTATATCTACCGGAGACACAATGATAATATTGGACAAGAAGTGGGGAAGGGCAAGAGCAGCTAAAAGAAGCTCTCTCCTCACAGCTATTTGCTAAACTAGTCTTAAAAAAAAAAAAAAAAAGTAAGAAAATGTTTTGAAATATGTGAAGAGCAGATGTGAACTGTCTTGACACATTTTGGTGATGGAGAAGGATAATGATGTAAGCAATGAGAATGTGCACAGACCTAGTATATTACAAGTTGTATTACTCTATTTGACAGAAATGCATGTGCACATGTAAATTGTAGCTTCTTCAGTGCTTAAGAGGAAAGCCTCTCCTTTTCTCTTGTCAGTAACAGCAATATATACATCACAGGCCACTCCTCATATTTCTCAGTAAAAATAAGGTATGTCCATATTTTCCGTAAATATTCAGTTACTTTTTCATACTAATATAGTAATACTAACGTTTGTGTTCTTCTTGGTTTAAACACTAGAGAACTCAGTCCTCAACCATGTTTTCTTGCATGTGTTCTACTCTTAGGATGATTTATTTTATTATTTGCCATGTGTAGGTTTAGCATGTCGTTAATTGTAGTATTCTGACTTACCCTTAAGGAAACAAAATGTGTTGCTATTTCTTTAAATATTGCCAAATGTAAAAACATTTAATCTTGGCCTTCTGTCTTTATGCAATACAGTGATTTGAGAATGTTAATGATAACCTTACCTTCAGACACACATTTCACGTATTTGATCTATATGCATTTATTTTTAAAGAACTGTTTTTATTAGTATTTATTGGGGTTTTCTCCATTAAAAATTACCATTCAATTGAAGCCACGCCTTGCCTTTGAAAGATAGTAAAATCTTAAGTAGCATAAGCTTTACTAATGTAAAGAACTCCACAAAACTTGCCAATCATATTATTTTAATAAATTAATTTTACACAGTTGCCAGTCAAACTGTTGAAATTGCTTTTATGGATTTACTCAGCATTTATATTTTGCATGCATAATAGCTGTCTCATGTATTTCTTACAGTTTTTCTCAGGATTGTAAGCAACTACTACACCTAGACAATATTATGTTTATTCTATAACAATAACTGGTGCTATACAAGAACTTAAAAATCATCTCATATCTTCTGTATAATGCTTCAGTGTATCACCTTATTTTTCTCTAAATGCATAGTAGTGAGTTACAGTACTACTTTGGGGTATTTTCATCAATTAGATATTTAAGATTTGGCATTTAGACACCACAACACCAACAATAAAAGAAAATGTAAAATAGCTATTGAAAAAAAACTCAAAATCACTTTTATACAAGGAAACTGGTTTGCTTTTTCCATGAACACTGATATATGCACATCTTATATGATGCAGATTTCAGAATAAACTAGTTACATCTAGCATATAAATGTACTGCTTATTTATTGCTAAGAAGAAGGAAGGGTTGGGCTAAAGTTTTCTTTGTGGGGAATGTCTTCTTAAAAGGAAACACAGGACAAAATATTTCAAAGAAACAAGTTCAGTAGTATCTTGGCAAAACATTATTGGCATCAGTAGTTGTATTGTATAAATGATGGACTTCGCAGTCTGGCCTTATGTTTCCATTCCAATACCAAATTAGAATGTTCGAGAGGGAAAAAATTAGTTTGTTCTTTCAGTCAGAATTGCCACCAGCTGTCCTAGTTCATTTTTTCCACAGTTCCCTCATCTTGTTTTTATGTTGTTTATTTTTCCAACAGTGACCCATGGAGTTTCTGAAATGACATCTGCTCCTTGGGAGCCTTTCCAGGTGCTCCGTGCATTGGTGCTCTTTCTGTGTCCCTTTGCAGGTGTCTGTCCCCAGGATCCCTGAGGTTTTGAGGCCTCCTGCTAGACACCTGGGAACTGTGTCCTAGTTATACTATCTGCATCTGAAAGCAGGTTTCCATTTCCAACACCTCCTCCTGAAGCCTGTCAGGAAACAAGGGTGAATTCAATTGGATCCTATGAACTATCCCATAGAAACCCAAAACAAGAAACCGGAAAAATATTTCATAAACCAACACTGATTCATGAGTCTGAAAAATTTTTTTCCTTGGAAGTTTTTCAGCCACTTCTAAACTTTATTTTCAGGGTTTTCTACATTTTTCCTTTATGCATTGGATTTCTGAGATTCCCATGAGTACTGTATGTGATTTGCAAAGGATTAAAATTTTAGGAAATCTGTTTCTACATAACAAAACTACAGTTTGAAAGAAGGGAAGCTAACAATTTTTCAGTGTTAAACATGTGGTTGGTTGTTTCAATCCTTGATACTGCAATGAGAGAAAGAGTGCAGACAAATTATTTTTCTCCTTATTCTTGCTTAAATACAATCCAAAGCATATCCTTATTTAGAATACACATCTATTCTGGTTAGAGTTTTTCTTTTTTTTTTTTTTTCTTCCAGAAACTCTTTCTCAAAACATGCTTTATGAATCTTTTAAAATGCATTTTGAGCTTTACAAGGGGTATCAAAGCATTTGAAATGCAGTTTTGAGCAGTATTTGAAAACTCAAGCCCCATAAATCAAGTTTAATTGAGTGGTCATCTTTGGGATTTGCCTGACTAACAGGTATTATTTACCTGTAAATATTTTTTGTCATCATCTAGTTATCATAAATGTAAGACATTTCCATGTAGTCCTTTTAACTGCCCCCATTACAATTTGCATTATATAAGGTTTTTTTTTCAGGAGATCCTGTAATTATTCAAGTACCAATAAATTACTTATTTGCAGTGGAATATTCCATTAGGGTTTTTTATGTGATTTGTGTATAATTCTCTAAAATACTTGTGAGAATGAGCAATTCCACTTACCAGTCTCTATTTAAAAAATCCTGCAGCAAAATGTTTGAAAGACCTCTTTATGTGGCTGGTTTTAATCTTATCAATGAGTAACAATAACCCCTATAAGCTAGAAACTTTGACTTTCAAAATTATCTTCTCTCCCTTTGTGGAGAGGAGCTCTTTACTGTCTTCTGTTGCAATGTTTGAAGATGACTTTTAGCTATTATGTGAAGGTTGTCTGTGAACAACCTGGAAGTATGGGAGGACAGCCTTAGCCTGGCATTATTTTAGTGTGCTACCTGTTCAGTGATATTTCAGTGTCTCACGTGTAAGTAGAATTTGCAGTTGCCATGTTATATCAGGCCACTGCAGTAATCTAGTCTAGGATCTGGTCTTTGCATCATTCTGTTTATTCATTTTTGGTCTAACGTAAGTGATGCTTTTGTAACTTGCCTAAGAGGAAACAGTTTAATTACTATCTTGTAAATGCGTGCTGAGTCTTAGCTGTAAGGTTATTTAGTTCTTCACTGTAATACTAAAGTTGATCTCATTTGCATGTTGGCATTATATAGATTGAATACTCAGTTTAGACACTAAAATAAATACTGTGTTTAAAACTGGTAGAACTCAATTTTCATCACGAAATTTAGAGCTCAGAAGGCTAGAGAATTAGAGTTGCCATTATCTGAGAGACATAATTTGGAAAGCTTAACTGGGCATTGGTGGTGAGCCTGAGCATCAGACTTGGAATTAAAACCTCTGCAAGTAGATGCTTATTTGTGATCATATCTCATAAAGCTCATAAACAGTAACAGTAGTAAATTATTCACTTAAGAAACAGATACTTAATACTTTTTCTGCAAACAAACTAGTGGAGGAGGTTTTGAAAAATAATAATGGGAAAAAGCTAGACCTGTAGTACACAAAATGTTGCAAGGAATTGGAGGGAACAAACATGGAAAGAAGGAATGTCAAGGGGAATTAGTACTAAAATGTAAGTCAAAAATGTATATAGTTAAGAATCAGAGGGCAGGCCTACATAGTTTTTTTTGTGTTTAAATTATGAGGGGGAGGTGCCATAATATGTAGTCTATAACTAATCATTGACCAAAAAGAGTGTGGAGACTTCAGTTGTACTGGGATTAATAGAGAAACTAGTTGAAAATCTAATAATGGAAAGTTGAAAATCAATAAAGATGAGCATTACCATGAGACAACAGAGTTCATGATACAAAGGAGAGAAAGGGACAAAAGAAGCAGATGAGCAACAGTGGGCTTCAAAAAACCAAACATCAGTAAAATCAAGAAATTGGTACATGAGGTCCTGGGGAATGAATTCTAAGGCAAAAAGAAATTCAGGAGGGCTGAGGGTTTCTAAAAGAGGCTTCTAAAACAGGCATATTTTAAGTATAACAACAGTCTATTCTAAAGCAAATGGGAGAAAAGCCTGGCAGCAGTGCTGGCTGCATTAGGGGCCCATCACTGACCTGAAAAATACCAAAAAAGAATACTGAAAATAAGTAGGAGCAATAAGGCTGCATTGGCAAGAATAAATATTAAAGAACAGCACAGCAGGTTAGGAACAAAACTGTACAGCAAGGGAAAAGCAAAACAATAAAAATGGATTCTTAAATAATTTTCTATTATACAATAAAAGTTCTCTGCTTATTAGGATAGGTGAATAAATGTCAGATGGTGCAAAAGCCTGAAGTGCTTTGTATTTCACTGCCTATTCTCTAAGCAGTGTGTGTCACAATCAAAGTTAACCAGGAAACAGGAATACAGGTCAGAAAGGGAACTATCAAGCTAATTAGATGTATTAGAACATTAAATTCTGATTAAATCTATTCTATAATAATATGGCGCAAAACTCAATCTTGGAATGATTGTATTTTTGATTAAGTATGAGTGAGTTCCCAGAGAACCAGAAAATAATATTTCTTATTAAAAGTGTGCAGGAGCACAGGAATGAGTGGAAAGGCAAGGTAAAAGAATGACTTGGTGAATCAGCCAGATGAACTTTGATACCAGAAGAGTTACTGAAAAAAAGTCTAAAAATCTTCAAGCATAGAGACTAATTTCAAAGGCCAACATGCATTTCTCCATAATTTCTAAGTAGCACAATGGTCTCCTTTGTCAGAGTAACTCTTCCAATATATTAAAACAATACAGTATGTTATGTGTTAAAGTCAATAAACCCATTGACAACAGATCCACCTGACCTGATTATTTATTAAGTAGCTAGGATCCAGATGATGGTACTGTAAGGTGGATACACAACTTGTTAGTATCTCATTTCAAAGGGTAATTACCAGTGTCCATTAAATTGTGAAGATAAATTGAGTGGGAGATAGGAGGGTGTCGTGGTTTAAACCCAGTCAGACAGCTTGTTCGCTCACTCCCCCCCCTTCTTGCCCTCCCGCTACTCCCGGAGGGACAGAGAGGAGAATCGAAAAGAATGCAACTCCAACAGGTTGAGATAAGAACAGTTTAGTAACTAAGGTATAACACAAATCACTGCTGCTACCACCAGTAATAATAATGATAAAGGAAATAACAAGGGAAGAGAATACAACGTCTCACCACCAGCCGACTGATAACTCACCCCCCCAGCCCGACCAAGCTCTGACCGATACCTCCTCCAACCCCACAGTTCAGCCCTTCTGGGTAACTCCCAGTTACATCCTGGGCATGACGTGCTGTGGTATGGAATACCTCTTTGGCTAGCTTGGGTCAGGTGTCCTGTCTCTGCTTCCTCCCAGCTTCCCCTCCTCCCTGGCAGAGCATGAGGCTCACAAAGTCCTTGGCCAAACCAAAACATCCATGTTATCAGCTCTGTTCCCAGGCCGAAAGTCAAAACACTGCACTGCACCAGCTACCAAGAAGGAGAAAAATGACTGCTACTGCTGAACCCAGGACAGAGGGGTAGGACTATCCGTGTATTACGGATATTACAAGCAAAAAGCAGGTGTGGATCCCTCAGGGATGAGGCACAACACTTGGCGAGAGCCTTGGCTTTAACCAGAAGCATGGCATTACCATGGTGGGATTCCTGGGACACCAGTACTAATCAAATGGGACTGAATGCAGTGGAGCGCTGCTCAGAAGTGAAGCTCAAGGGAAAGCACCACAAA